ACATTCGGAAATAATAATATGCGTAGTATTATTGATCAAATACAATCAAATGGGAAATAAGAGTGTTTTTATCGTCAAATTAAGTAACTTGTTAGAATGTGTTTCTTTGAATTGAAATGGAATTTAAAATTATTTATTATCCTCCTCCGATTTGACTTACTGATGGTAATAATATCTTCCATATCTCTGGTAATTGCATTGAGTCACTTATGTTGAATGTGTTGGGTGTAGACTCAATGAACACGGATTCAGTAATCAATCTATCTCTCTCAACCTACTTATATTACTTCTTAGAATTTTAACCCTCTTCCGCCCTATTGTGTGTTAATGCATGCAGTGCAATCGCTGAACTTTTTCCTAAATTACTTATCTTCGCGGGTGAGATCAGTCATTCTAAAATTAGCTAAGTTCTTATGTTCCGAAAATCTGACTACCCCCAACCTACTAGTTTGACCTCGCTCACAGTCATTGCAGGGTATTTTGTAAGTTATATTATTTTGTCTAATTGGGTCAACAGGGTCCTTTAACCTACAGAGCTTGTCCTACCTGAGTGAGTTTGTAGGTTTGAATGCCACCCTAATTCTTGCTTTATTGAGAATCCTACGTAGGGCCTCAGATATCCCCTCCTTATATGGTATAACTGTAGATGCCTTATATTTTCTCTTACATATGCTATCATTATTAATTTTACCATGATTTTTATTTTGCTTTTGACCTTTTTTGATATTCCTGATGAAACTTTTAGGATAGTTATTCAACATCAACGCCTCTTCTATTTTTTTCATTTCATCGTTTAGGTTTTTTTGTGCTACTTAGTACTATTGCTCGGTTCGTTAGACACTTAACAGACAACGGATGAGATGAATTAAAGTCTAAGTATCTATTAGAATGAGTTGGTTTTCTGTACACACTAGTGTGCAGTTTACCTTCTTCTATTCGTTTTATTTTACAATTTACAATTCTTCTTGTTCATTTTCCGATTCAAATGTGAATTTCATTCCCTCTACTTGTGAGTTTATGTGTGTCAAGAAGCTAGAGATATGTTCTGTTTCTAACACTGTGAAAGTGTCATCCACATATCTCCACCATATTGTTGGAGTAGGATTAAATGTATTTAGAGCAATATTTTCTCAGCTGTCCATAAAGATGTCTGCTACCATCGCTACACCATCTGTTTGTCTATATATTTTGCCTTAGAACTTAAAGATAGTAGATGTGAGGCATAACTGAATTCCTAAAATAATTTCCGCAGTGGGCAGCTTTGTCTTATGACCAAGTTCGGAATCATAAGTTAGTTCTCTTTTAACCGCTTCTAAAGCCATATTGATTGGTATGTTAGTGTACAGACTAGTTATATCAAAACTGATCATTTTTTCATTATTCTTTAATTGAGTGTAATTTAGTTTCTTTTTCATTTCATATCAATTAGTCAGCCTAGAGTTTGAATGATTCCCAATGGGACATAATATTAGAGCTAAGTGTTTCGATAGTTCGTACGTCGGCGTATTTCTGAAATCTACGATTGGTTTTATGGAGTTACCTGGTTTATGTATTTTTATAGTACCACATATTCTACTAGCATTATTAGTTTTAGGCATTAAATTAAACCGTATTCTCATCTTCAGCAATGATACGATTTCGGAAACACACTTATCTCGCCTAAATACCAATCTCTTATTGGTATACGTAAATGAATTTATTGTTTGTAGTGAATTCATATTGTGATGGTGTGATACAGACAGTGTGTACCAACGAAATGTTATTCTCAAATATTCCCACAGTTCACTACTGCATTGGCAACAGAATACTATGTGTATTCGAACAGTCTATTTCATGTCGTTTAGTCTCTATCCGGGAAGAGATCACCACAAGTGAAACCTATAAAAAACAGCCAAGGGAACCCAATTACCAAGGAAGAAAAACAGATTAAACAATGGGCGGATCACTTCAAAGGATTCTTGAACCGACCATCACCTGCAACCCGTCAAGAAATACCAACAACAGCGCGCACACAACTGCAAGTTGACACCAATCCTCCAACGAGAGCTGAAGTCTTGAATGCAATCAAGCTTCTGAAAGCTAGAAAAGCAGCTGGACCAGATGGAATACCCCCCGAAGCACTGAAAGCAGACCCAGAGACTACAGCAGACATGCTGACTCCATTATTGCAAAAGGTATGGAAGGAGGGAAAGGTGCCTACTGACTGGAGGAAAGGTTACCTCGTGAAACTACCAAAGAATGGTGACTTACGTCTCACTCTGCAAGAACTGGCGAGGAATCATGCTCCTATCGACGCCAAGTAAAATCCTGAGTAGCATCATCCTGGAGAGAATAAAGGACGCGCTGGATACAGAACTCCGACCAGAACAAGCTGGATTCAGGAAAGGCAAATCATGTTCTACTCTACGCATCATCATCACAGAACAAAGCACGGAATAGCAATCAAACCTCTACCTCAACTTTATAGACTTTGAGAAGGCCTTCGACAGTCAGCGTTGACCGCGAAGTAATTTGGAAATTACTCGAGCACTATGGCGCACCCCAAATATTCATCAACCTTATTCAACAGCTGTACGGCAACGGGACATGTCAAGTGATCCACAACGGAAAACTCAGCGAGGCGTTTATAGTAAACAAAGGAGTCAAACAAGGGTGCTTATTATCACCAATGATGTTCCTAATTATGGTGGACTGGATTATGCGTCAGACAGCGGGAAAGAGCAGACAGGAATATACTGGACCAACGTGAAGAACCTAGAAGACCTGGATTTCGCGCGTGGATGATTTATGTTTGGTGTCACAAAAAATCGAAGACTTACAAGCGAAAACCGACAAACTGGTCGAAGAAGCAGTCGGCGAAGACAGGACTCCAGGTGAACATAGACAAGACGAAGGTTATGAAAATAACCAACCAGCAACAACATCCAGCGCCAATCACCATCAACGGGAGGGATTTGAAAGAGGTTACTTCACTCACTTATCTAGGGAGCATTGTCTCAACTACAGGAGGCGCTAAGTCATCTCTCCGCCTTTCCATCAGTTTCATGGCTAGCGAACAATGGCTGGTATTGTAGATTTCTGGGTGACGCTCATGACACATATCCAAGCCACCGAAGCCAGTTTTAAAGGACGACAATGGTCGGTGAGTGGTGATCTCCACCGTAACCAGCCACACGCCACCGACCGTCAGAATTGCCTGCATGATGACACCACCGGACGCTAGCAAATCTATGGGGCAGTAGTGGTTGAATACGCAGAGTAGCGGCACATCCTCAGCTTAGAAGCCCAGTTCCACAGGCGTACAGGGAGACTTTCTATTTCTTTTCCTTCACGTTCCCTAGTGAAACATAGGGCTTCAAGCTAGTGGCTTGAAGTTTCTGTAGCAGTGTTTTATATATTTTTACAGGATGGGGTTGCTAGCCTCATGCCCAACCTTTCCTCTTTACCACCATTATTTCTGGCATAGCGAGGTAAAAGGTGTGGGTCGGCCGGTGATCGAACACCAGACCATGTGCATAGTCGGCGAGCGTTCTGACCGCTATGCCACCGACGCACAGAGCGAGACTAAGCGCACCAAAATATTGTGAATCCAAAATTTGCCAAACAGAATGACGTCGCTACGGTGCCAAAGGCGGCCCACGTTGGCGCATGCTTTCACTGTACGACTAGAGATTTCGTCTGTCACATCTCCACCGGTATTCACACAGAAACCTAGATTACCCGGACTAATCGACAACTTTAAGCCGGGTCACCTGCAAGGATGAGTGGAGGTACAGGCTGCTGCCAGTCTTGCAACAACACTTTGTACAGAAAGTAAATACAATACTTATAGAAACTAGGGAGGAATTTAAGAATGACAATAACATTTTTATGCAGAAGTGGGTGGATGAAATATACCTCAGACGGATCACGGATTGATATCAGTTAGAGAACCAGTGAAAACCAGCTACAGGGAGTACTGGACAGCTGTTTCATCCTAGTTTGGGAATCATCGATAGTACGCACCCACTGGGGTTCGAACGCAGGACCTTCTGGTTACAAGGCAAGCTCGTATACCATTCAGCCACTGGGACCCGATTCAATGGCTCATGAATTCTAACTTCTACCAATTCGTGATTTTGCGCGACACCAACCGCCGATGATTCCCGAACTAGGATGAAACAGCTGTCCAGTACTCCCTGGTTTTCAATGGTTCTCTAACTGATATTAATCCGTGATCAACTCGTAGAAACACTTACTTGTATGATGTCCTGAACACAATTTTCGCCTTCACATCAAGTAACTGACCGACTGGAACTTTGCACAGACTTACATCAGTTCAAATTGCCACACTTCATGAAGCACACAAAGAAAGACAAAAAAGAAAAAAAAGATTTGGAAAAACGATGAAAAACCTAAATGTGAGAGTGAAATAATAATAACATGGAAAAACAATAGGGCTTTTCTGAACATTGAATGCATCTGCGCAGCACTGAGAACGATTTTATGCCGTATAACACCGATTGTCTCCAGCCTTCATTGGTTTTTACCATCCCGAGGACCCCAACGAGTCAGGAGGCCTACATCTACCTACGTGGCTGGTTCAAACTAACTGCTGTAGATTTCATTGAGTGATTCCATGTTTTGGTTTGATCATCACTAATTAGCTCTTTTGAAACCTGATCAGTCCTGTCAGTCAGCTAACATCGCCTGTCGAAGAAGGCATCACGTCAAGTAAGTTGCTTTATGAAATTAGTAGTGACACATTCACTGTACCTGGTGATAGAATGCTTACACTCCAGTATCGGAGGACAGAACGTATGTTATAAAGTCGGTAGGAATCTGGGGATTGTTAAGCCGCATGCTTTTACCGACTGTCCAAGTTAAGAAAATTATTTTCTAGACTATTACAGTTTTGATGAATTGGTGCTTAGCTGAGTGACTAATTCATTCAATTTAGAGGGTTTTTACTGCCTTCACATGAACGTATTTAAAAGTTTTCCTCTATTTTCACTTTGTAGATATGCCAATCTGGTCCAAATTGTATACAAATCGTTTCCCACAACCTGAAGAGCTCCTTAAGATAATTGATAACCATCTTATGTTCCGAGGCCCAGGAAAAGTTTCTCAATCCTCTGTTCCACCATTGTAGAGTTGTATGAGCTTATTGTGCACTTATACACGTTCAAGTGTTTTTTGTTGTTGATCAAGCATGTACGACTGGAATATTTGAGCTTTCTCCTAGCCTTATGACAGTTGGTATGTCAATCTCTCTACTAGAGAACATAGTCAACTCGATGCTAGCTGGTTTAAGCTCAAATATAAAATACCTGGTCTACATTGTAATACTGTTTATTGTATGTAATACAGCGTTTACTTTTTAATTGAATTAATAATATTAATAACACTATAATTGTTCTCATGTATAGTCAGAAGAAATTCATTAATGTGTTGTACAATTTTTTTTCTCTCGTTTTTATTGAATAAATTAGAATAATTTGTAATCTTTCTGATTAAAATGCATTTATATGTTATGATTTTTCACAAACGCCATGTAGTTAGTTACACATATGGAGTTATCGATCAAAAAAAAAGGTAAAAGCTACATCGATTTAACGCAAAGTAATGAAACAAGCCGGAGAGTAAGCAAATGTTGCTTCTAGATGCTGACAGTTATAGACGAAGAAAATATGACGTCAATTTTTATTGACTAAAATATAGGTTAGAATATTCAAATATTTACTAACTAGCTAGCTAGTTTGAATAATATTTCAAGAGGAGTGTTGACGTTTACGCAGAGTTCGATGTATACATAACGCAAGTTCTTATTTTCCAGCGCCTTATCGTATTTGTTCTGCTTAAAGCACCAAAGACTAACAGAAAAACACCAAATTCATCGTCCAAAATACGAGTTATATTTCAGGATCAGAATCGTGTAGTGAGTGCTATGATGATTCCTTAGGTATCTAGGATTCGACAACAGACGATTAAAACGTAACACGACAGATGGCGTGAATGTTTGACTGTGGACCTTCGGCTTAACGAGTCGACTTAAACAGTGAATGAAGGTCAGCATCCAGTGTTGAGCGACGATTTTAGGGGATTATTTACAGCTACAAGTAACTGCTTAACAACTTAACCGTGGTTTATGTTGTTCTCATAGTAAGAAAGGCACACATATATGCAGGAGACATAACATAGCATAGTAATCGATTAAGAGTAAGAATCGATAGACTATTGATAAGCCATCATTCATGTCTGTCATGAATGAAGAATTCTTGTGTGCAATAAAAGTTCATTTCTTAGAAGGATAATGCTTATACTTCCATTTCAGTAATATAGTAGCTAGTAATAATTAAGAGCTTAATTAACAATTGTTTTGGAGTTTCTTTCATTTAACCTCGTATGACCATGTAAGTGTTTTGATGCGCCTTAAGATCGCAGCATAGTTTGATGGTGACAATGTAGGCGATAGAAAACTTCAATAACAAGCACCAGTCGAGTAGGTGACGATGCTTAAGATTTCAACTTTCTCAATACTTCCCAAACTAGATAAGTTTGTTTGATATAACACTGTGATACAGTATTTAAAAAAAAGTGGGATGTATTTCGAGCAAAACTTACTGCTCATAATTATGTCAGTAGATTCATGCAACTGCCTGATCCACTTTATAGTATCCCTCCTTTTTTTTGAATGTCATTTTCCATATATACAGTATATGTTTTGTCTGACTCGTTTCAGCGTAGAACTTATCATAGATGTGCAGTAGTTCAAGTTGCCACACACTCTCCCTGTAGCCAGACAAAGCAAGAGAAGAGAGATAATAAGCAGGAATGTGAGGCAAAAAGAAAAGTAATATGGGAGAACAATAGAATTTATTTGGATATTATCAATCAAAAAGAGTGAATGCATCTACACCAGCCATTGAGAACCATTTTGAGCCATATCACCGACTGTCTCCAGCCTTCATTAGCTTTTACCAACCCGAGGACTCCAACCAGCTACGAAGTCTATATCTCCCTACGTGGGTGGCTTAAACTAACTGTTGTGAATTTCATTGGCTGATGAAGTGATGTTTTGGTTTGACCATCACTAACTAGCCTTTCCAACCTGATCGGTCCTATGTCAGTCAGCTAACATTACTCGTCAGTCGATGGCTAGGAATGCATGCGTAACACATGTCCAAAACATCTCACCCAATCGATGTAACTTCACAGCCTGGTCGACTGATTTCCCCTCCTTATCTAGCACTCGATGTTGCTCACCATATTATACCACTTAATACGGGAGATAAACACACAGACACCTACGGTGAAATACACTTAGCCAAACTTTTCATGTCTTCCACTTTCAATGGTCATGTCTCACAAAGATTCAGTGACTAATTTCTCTTTCCACCTAACTATGCTAATTTTACCCCACTGTGTGATAACATGCAAGTGCACTTATATGGCACTACATACTTCCACAGTGCCCAAATTCTGACTTTATAATATTTCTTAGTGCTTCGAGTTTGTACGTAACAAACGTAAACTCTTAGGAATGCTGACTGAGCGTTGTAAATTCTAATATTTAATTCCGGTTGACTCCAATAATTACAATCGAAGCTTCTAGATTAAAACGACATTCCCTGATGTACACAGAGTTCACCTCAATGTTTGACAATGGTAATTATTATTCTCCTACGATATTATTTGTCTAGTAATTCGAAAAAAGAAACTATTTACTTATCGACACTGCATACAATCTGTGGAATACAACAGGATTTGTGATTTCTGTTCCCAAGGTGAGTCTGACTTTCAAAGAAATATTCTTCTTGATATAAGTGTAAGACTTGGGCACTGTGGTAGAGTATAACTTCATTATGGATAGGATTTTATTTTGATATATCACACAGTGTTGTTATACAGTAATATTAACTGATGACCATTTTTCGAGCACAAACTACTGCCACTCATAATCACATCAAGTCACTTACACAACTATTTTTTTTGCTTCATTTATATACATGAGTACAAACCGACTAGACATTTGAATAAAATCAATATAAGACAAAGTACATTCGGAAATAATAATGTGCGTAGTATTATTGATCAAATACAATCAAATGGGAAATAAGATGTTTCTATCGTCAAATTAAGTAACTTGTTAGAACTTTGTGATGTATGTGAATTGAAATGGAATTTAAAGATTATTTATTATCCTCCTCCGATTTGACTTACTGATGGTAATAATATCTTCCATATCTCTGGTAATTGCATTGAGTCACTTATGTTGAATGTGTTGGGTGTAGACTCAATGAACACGGATTCAGTAATCAATCTCTCTCTCTCAACCTACTTATATTACTTCTTAGAATTTTAACCCTCTTCCGCCTTATTGTGTGTCAATGCATGCAGTGCAATCGCTGAACTTTTTCCTAAATTACTTATCTTCGCGGGTGAGATCAGTCATTCTAAAATTAGCTAAGTTCTTATGTTCCGAAAATCTGACTACCCCCAACCTACTAGTTTGACCTCGCTCACAGTCATTGCAGGGTATTTTGTAAGTTATATTATTTTGTCTAATTGGGTCAACAGGGTCCTTTAACCTACAGAGCTTGTCCTACCTGAGTGAGTTTGTAGGTTTGAATGCCACCCTAATTCTTGCTTTATTGAGAATCCTACGTAGGACCTCAGATATCCCCTCCTTATATGGTATAACTGTAGATGCCTTACATATGCTATCATTATTAATTTTACCATGATTTTTATTTTGCTTTTGACCTTTTTTGATATTCCCAATGAAACTTTTAGGATAGTTATTCAACATCAACGCCTCTTCTATTTTTTTCATTTCATCGTTTAGGTTTTTTTGTGCTACTTAGTATTATTGCTCGGTTTGTTAGACACTTAACAGACAACGGATGAGATGAATTAAAGTCTAAGTATCTATTAGAATGAGTTGGTTTTCTGTACACACTAGTGTGCAGTTTACCTTCTTCTATTCGTTTTATTTTACAATTTACAATTCTCCTTGTTCATTTTCCGATTCAAATGTGGATTTTATTCCCTCCACTAGTAGTGAGTTTATGTGTGTCAAGAAGGTAGAGATATGTTCTGTTTCTAACACTGTGAAAGTGTCATCCACATATCTCCACCATATTTTTGGAGTAGGATTAAATATATTTAGAGCAATATTTTCTCAGCTGTCCATAAAGATGTCTGCTACCATCGCTACGCCATCTGTTTGTCTATATATTTTGCCTTAGAACTTAAAGATAGTAGATGTGAGGCATAAGTGAATTCCTAAAATAATTTCCGCAGTGGGCAGCTTTGTCTTATGACCAAGTTCGGAATCAGAAGTTAGTTCTCTTTTAACCGCTTCTAAAGCCATATTGATTGGTATGTTAGTGTACAGACTAGTTATATCAAAACTGATCATTTTTTCATTATTCTTTAATTGAGTGTAATTCAGTTTCTTTTTCATTTCATATCAATTAGTCAGCCTAGAGTTTGAATGATTCCCAATGGGACATAATATTAGAGCTAAGTGTTTCGATAGTTCGTACGTCGGCGTATTTCTGAAATCTACCATTGGTTTTATGGAGTTACCTGGTTTATGTATTTTTATAGTACCACATATTCTACTAGCATTATTAGTTTTAGGCATTAAATTAAACCGTATTCTCATCTTCAGCAATGATACGATTTCGGAAACACACTTATCTCGCCTAAATACCAATCTCTTATTGGTATACGTAAATGAATTTATTGTTTGTAGTGAATTCATATTGTGATGGTGTGATACAGACAGTGTGTGCCAACGAAACGTTATTCTCAAATATTCCCACAGTTCACTACTGCATTGGCAACAGAATACTATGTGTATTCGAACAGTCTATTTCATGTCGTTTAGTCTCTATCCGGGAAGAAATCACCACAAGTGAAACCTATAAAAAACAGCCAAGGGAACCCAATTACCAAGGAAGAAAAACAGATTAAACAATGGGCGGACCACTTCAAAGGATTCTTGAACCGACCATCACCTGCAACCTGTCAAGAAACACCAACAACAGCGCGCACACAACTGCAAGTTGACACCAATCCTCCAACGAGAGCTGAAGTCTTGAATGCAATCAAGCTTCTGAAAGCTAGAAAAGCAGCTGGACCAGATGGAATACCCCCCGAAGCACTGAAAGCAGACCCAGAGACTACAGCAGACATGCTGACTCCATTATTGCAAAAGGTATGGAAGGAGGGAAAGGTGCCTACTGACTGGAGGAAAGGTTACCTCGTGAAACTACCAAAGAATGGTGACTTACGTCTCACTCTGCAAGAACTGGCGAGGAATCATGCTCCTGTCGACGCCAAGTAAAATCCTGAGTCGCATCATCCTGGAGAGAATAAAGGACGCACTGGATACAGAACTCCGACCAGAACAAGCTGGATTCAGGAAAGGCAAATCATGTTCTACTCTACGCATCATCATCACAGAACAAAGCACGGAATAGCAATCAAACCTCTACCTCAACTTTATAGACTTTGAGAAGGCCTTCGACAGTCAGCGTTGACCGCGAAGTAATTTGGAAATTACTCGAGCACTATGGCGCACCCCAAATATTCATCAACCTTATTCAACAGCTGTACGGCAACGGGACATGTCAAGTGATCCACAACGGAAAACTCAGCGAGGCGTTTATAGTAAACAAAGGAGTCAAACAAGGGTGCTTATTATCACCAATGATGTTCCTAATTATGGTGGACTGGATTATGCGTCAGACAGTGGGAAAGAGCAGACAGGAATATACTGGACCGACGTGAAGAACCTAGAAGACCTGGATTTCGCGCGTGGATGATTTATGTTTGGTGTCACAAAAAATCGAAGACTTACAAGCGAAAACCGACAAACTGGTCGAAGAAGCAGTCGGCGAAGACAGGACTCCAGGTGAACATAGACAAGACGGAGGTTATGAAAATAACCAACAACAACAGCAACATCCAGCGCCAATCACCATCAACGGGAGGGATTTGAAAGAAGTTACTTCACTCACTTATCTAGGGAGCATTGTCTCAACTACAGGAGGCGCTAAGTCATCTCTCCGCCTTTCCATCAGTTTCATGGCTAGCGAACAATGGCTGGTATTGTAGATTTCTGGGTGACGCTCATGACACATATCCAAGCCACCGAAGCCAGTTTTAAAGGACGACAATGGTGGTGATCTCCACCGTAACCAGCCACACGCCACCGACCGTCAGAATTGCCTGCATGATGACACCACCGGACGCTAGCAAATCTATGGGGCAGTAGTGGTTGAATACGCAGAGTAGCGGCACATCCTCAGCTTAGAAGCCCAGTTCCACAGGCGTACAGGGAAACTTTCGATTTCTTTTCCTTCACGTTCCCTAGTGAAACATAGGGCTTCAAGCTAGTGGCTTGAAGTTTCTGTAGCAGTGTTTTATATATTTTTACAGGATGGGGTTGCTAGCCTCATGCCCAACCTTTCCTCTTTACCACCATTATTTCTGGCATAGCGAGGTAAAAGGTGTGGGTCGGCCGGTGATCGAACACCAGACCATGTGCATAGTCGGCGAGCGTTCTGACCGCTATGCCACCGACGCACAGAGCGAGACTAAGCGCACCAAAATATTGTGAATCCAAAATTTGCGAAACAGAATGACGTCGCTACGGTGCCAAAGGCGGCCCACGTTGGCGCATGCTTTCACTATACGACTAGAGATTTCGTCTGTCACATCTCCACCGGTATTCACACAGAAACCTAGATTACCCGGACTAATCGACAACTTTAAGCCGGGTCACCTGCAAGGATGAGTGGAGGTACAGGCTGCTGCCAGTCTTGCAACAACACTTTGTACTTAGACGGTACAAAGTAAATACAATACTTATAGAAACTAGGGAGGAATTTAAGAATGACAATAACATTTTTATGCAGAAGTGGGTGGATGAAATTTACCTCAGACATACGAACTGCTGATTTTAAGATGATCGCATAGATTTAATGTTCTCGATAATGAACGATACTTCACGATTAACAGAACAGGTAAACCAATAAATAATTAAACTATCTAACAAAAGATGTAAATCGATGCATGCTATTGAGTTGACAACATCCAAGAACTACAAACCTGTATAAATCAAGTGTGCAACCAGTTCACAATAGACAAGAAAAAACTAGGACGAATTTCTTAGCACATATATAACAATCAATATGTGTTTATTACCTTATCATTTTGCTTACAAGCTTCCTTCTCCTTCCATCAGATTTATAAATGATCATGCGAAAAGTACTAGAGGCTAGAGTCCTATCTTCAATGTAAGGAATAGTTAGTTCTTGCCAAGTAAATACATCGTAAAGAAAAGAAAATGAAGTAATGACGCATATTTTATGTGATGAAAACAGTTTCAGACACGATCTAACTAACTAACCTTCTTTCTCTACACCGGTAAGTAAATAAACAATTTTCTCCATCAAGCTTTACAGTTATTAATTCCTATTATTGTTTACAGTCCTCCTGTTTCCCTATTTTTCTGCATAAATGTAAACACTATTTGGTGCTCTGTAATAATAATTGTTATGGTTTTTATGTTTTTCTCCATCAATCATGCTATATCAAGAGGCCATTAGATTCAATATTCTATGATATGCTAAGATTTACACACTGCATTGACAATATTGTTCGAAATAAACCTACTTTTACTTTCAGTGGACACCAGTTACTAGTATTCAATACAGTCCTACAGGACGTCAATCACTAGTCCGAATAACTCAGTGGTAACGTCTTTGACTGCAGCACTGGATGGCGCGGGTTCGAATCTCAGAAGAAGGGACATGCGTTGTTCCTTCAAGGTTGCTGACTTGTGAGTGTCAATTAGTACGAAACCCAGGTTAAGCGAGGCATCCTTTGGCCGACTACCTCTAACCATCTAACATCAATAAACCTACTTTATATTATTACTATTATCATTATACTTGTTATTCTCATTACTATATTTTGCACATTTTTGAATTTACTCCTAATGTAAATGCGGAATCGTTCCTGTGGTTAACTTTATTTATATTTTGCGTAAACTAGATAAAATATTGTGACAAATGCTGAGAATTTCATGCTGTAGTATAAGTACTGTGTTTTTTGGAATAAACCAGATCACTATTATTGTTATTACACATCACATATAATGACAGGCACAATTAGAATTGATTTACAAGGTCCATTTTTACTGTGTATTTGTAGCAAATAGTTTTTCAACCATGTCCACTCATTTCTACTACATAGTAGCAATAATAACAATATTAAACTAGATCTAAAGTTGGTTGGATTTGTGTTTGAGAGGCGGAGATCAATACCACTGTCAGCGTTAATTATCTAAGACTAGTAGCTGGGGAATTTGGACATTTTGACAACAAACACTGCTTTGGAGTAAATTATATATATGCAATATTAAACACTATTCCGAACAAAATAATAGTCATACACAATGGAAACTTTCCAGCATTTCGCATTCGGATGAAAAATATCCAGTTACCAAGGCAAAGAAAGGCTGATAACCGCTTCTTTCTGGACGCATAAATCAGGTTTCAGGCGCTGGATGAAAATGGCTTCAGCGAACTTAAGAAGAATTGAGCTTTTTTGCCTATTGATAATTTTGAACAACTTTTCGACGTCCACCTCATGACCTGTGTCGAGGAGTGATATGTATCCACATATATATATTTATGTGTGTGTGTGCATGTTGGTCTCTCTTTCTGTTTGCTCGGTTAGTCTGTGACCACTTCACTTGTATGAACTTGTCTCCTTTAATAATGCGTATTCTCCTTATATTATATTATATATAATATGAGTGTTTGTTGACAGTCCGTTGCTTGGTGACATATATCCATATATGTTTGTTGGCATGTCTGCTATATTCGCTATGTATAATTGGATCGACACTCCATTATAATTAGCCATTCATGTTAAGACTGTCTAATGATTTTTCCCACGCTTGTCTGAATTATTTATATATATTCGCATTCACAATTTGTGTGAACTACTTTACAACTACTTTACTTACTTACCACTTTGGTGTGAGACCATTTATTTTCGTCTCCTTGTGTTTGGACAATAGAAGTATCATCGCAAACCTAGTGGTCTTCTGATTTCCGCCTTCTCGCGTCAGGACTATTAGTTTCTCGACCAGTCTATAAGAATAATTCAGCGACGAGTACATAACAAGGAGATGTCTGGCGATGGCACTGTTTAAAGCATTTGTTTCCTTTAGACACAAGCTTTTTGTTACATGTTCAGAAAATCGTAGATATGCCCTTCTTTCTGTCCTTCCAATGTAACTGCTCATTCAGATACATGTAAATTTGTGTATACGGTTGGAGTTAACATGAGAAGGATATCTATTGATTTTTGATTGCACCAAAGAGCAAGTTGTTCGATAGACGGGAACGAGCTTAGCTGCAGGGTAGGCTATGGCTAGTGATGTACTCAGCCTTCTGTTGATCACCGCTGCAATGTTTTCACCTTTATAAAAGATGGTACCATTTTATTCGGCTATATATATATATATATATATATATATATATATATATAGTTTCCTACGTGATCCAAGTGGAACATAAGACTTCAGTTTTCAAGATTCAGTAATTGTATTGTTTTCACGGATTGGGATTGTTCCCCGCATGCCCGATCTCTACTCTTCACCAGTCCTACTACCGACTAGGAGACGTTTGGAAATGCGTCAGCTGGAAGTCGAAACGGAACCACACACTTGGTTGGCGAGGATTCTACCATTGACACTACCAAATCATATCGAAGGAAATCAAAATTAAGTACTATACATTCCTGTCGTATGATTGATTGCATCACCCTAACGCATATGCTGAAACGCTTAAAATTAAAACCGCCAATATACCTGGTAGGGGTTCGTACAATGAATGATTCAAAGTTAGTGCAAAACATTTTTCGCAAGATAAGGGTTTTCTGTGTGTTATATACATGCACATATATATTTACGAATTACAATTTAGAAAAACCAAAAATCTTTTATCCTATCAAAAAATAGCTGTTTTAACGAATTAAAAATCTTCAAGTCCAGGCATATAGAATTTGGAAGCGAAATTCTCCACCTGAAGTCTCAAATCACTGATCATTCCGCGAATTTCATCATTGGTGTTAAGTACATTCTAAGTAAGATTATAAAACAAAAAAAGAAGAGCATAGTTTTGCGTGAGTAGAATTTATAACAACAAAAAGTCAAAATAAACAGATACTGGAGGATTAGAAGCATAAAGTCAACGATTTTCCCTATGTGAATGTGTGTTTGAACCGATTCGACTTTCTTAGCTGAGTTAAACTGGCTAGGTATACCTTGGATGAATTCGGCTTTACAACCAGCAAAACATGTATCCCGGTGTTTGGATCAACTCACTCTGGCTAGTGAGTACTACTAGCGGCTGATATCAGTAGTATACAATTAATCATCTCAATCAATCAGTAATAGTAGTATGTATGTATGTACTTTTATACTAATATGCTTGCTTTCTCGATTATCATCAATAGTATCAGTGTTACAGTTGTAGAATGCTCGCCAACTACGCATGTGATCCGGGGTTCAATTCCCAGACGTACAGACACACTCCTCTAGCCCCCCCCCCTAAGTCAGTAATAAGACTGGTTAAGAGGGAATGTTGGCCAACCAGGAAAAAATAAACACTTCCACTGGGAATGTAAAGAAATAAGACGGAAAAAATCAATAGTCTCAAGCAGATCAGGTACTGTAATCTGAATAATTTGGTTTTTTAAAGGAAACTGCGGTGAAAATTTCACCCCTGAAACTGCATACATTGCAAATTGTGAGTTTCATTTAAGTTAACAAAGACTAGTATTATTGGCAATTCACCTGAGAAAGAAGCCAAATTATCGACAACAGAATAACATGAAATTCAAAGTGTGTACAGTATAAATATCGAATAAAACAGCAAAGTTATATGTAGTCTGTACAAATCGTGCGATAGTATAACCATGTTCTATGTTCTAGCAGTCTGATAGGTTATGTGAAAAAAAAACACACGAACGAAAGTAAGTCATAAATGATGAGATGGTTGAATTTTAGGTCAAAATTATAATTATACAGATCGATAAGGCAGGAAGTTATTTATCACTAGTACAATAGAATAACCTAGAATTCGAAATCAAAAATCAACTCGAAAGGTTTAATGTTATGAAAAATGGTTTGTGACTTAAACTTTTTTCAGTTGTTAAGGCTTCAAATAAAATAATATGCAGGTATATGAGTGAGATTAACGTGTATACATGCATTTTATGCCGTATTTTAATGAATTTGTTAGCTTGTTTCTGAGAGTAAAGGGGTGTTTAGGAGACTAAGTGGGGCTCCAGGAGGAAGAGGATAGTCATTTAAAAGAAACTGTGGACAGTACGTGTATACTGTTGCGGTCGATGTGTAGGAATTTCAGCTGGAATTTCTAAAAAAAACTGTTAACTACTGATAGGTAGCAAACACACTTGAAGGTGAAACTTCAACATTTCAGTATTTTTATCTAACAGTGCCTGACCTTTTTCCAAACTGACTGACTGATCGCTTTCAACATAGAACTTTGCACAGGAGTGCACCAATTCCAGTTGCCACACTTCCTCTATATTGCACACAAAGGAAGATAAAAGACGGAAAAAGTATATTCGAGAAAACCATTATTATTATTAGTGTTCCCTTGGGTTCCTAGTGGAACATAGGGCTTCAACTGCACATCACCACTTGCTTCTGTCTTCCTACTGCTGTACTTTTCACCTACATCCATCTTAGTCCATACTATTTCAACTCCTCTTCACACCATCTCCTCCATGTCACCCTCGCACTAACGTCCCACTCGCCGCTTCCCTTTTGGCCTCGTTCCACTCGAGCGATGGCCTGACGCGCACTCGATCTCATCCAGCGGCCTTCTCAGCCACGAGTGTCCAATCCATTTTAATCCACTTTCTCCTGCATATTTATTGGTTGGTGACTGCTTCTTGTTTTGTTTTGTTTGTTTCCATAGTTTCTTGTTGGTGATTCTTTCCAGACCGGTCATCTGATCTTCATTTAGTATAGAGCGAAGACAGTTAGTTGTTGATAAAGGTCTGCAATAGCCAACCTGTTGGGAATATTCTTTGTGACCCTCCACGAAGAACTGACTCAACATTTGTATTGAAAATCCGACCGAATTTTGTTGTTGATGCTGGCTGAGTGACGAAGATTTCCAGATTGGTGTCAGGTTGATGAATGTGTTTCTCGTCTTCCCGATTCTCAATTTGGCATCTTTGTCCGTTCCTCCTGTAGTTGAGACAATGCTCCCTAGATAAGTGAGTGAAGTAACCTCTTTCAAATCCCTCCCGTTGATGGTGATTGGCGCTGGATGTTGCTGTTGTTGTTGGTTATTTTCATAACCTCCGTCTTGTCGATGTTCACCTGGAGTCCTGTCTTCGCCGACTGCTTCTTCGACCAGTTTGTCTGTTTTCGCTTGTAAGTCTTCGATTTTGTGTGACATCAAACATACGAGAGAACCATAATGAACAGAAATGTGGTGGAGAAAGAAAGTAAAGTAATATGGAAAAGCATGAGGGTTCAATGAATACGACAGATCACAGAATAGTGAATGCATCTGAGCTACTGAGAAGAATTTTGAGGTATATCACTAACAGTCTCAAGCCGTTGGCTCTTAGCATCCCAAGGATCTACACCCTCTTACATAGCTCAAACACTTAACACATTTCTAAGACATTTTAATCGGTTCACCTTCACAACCTAAATGATTGACTTTCCTCCCTTATCTAATACATTCTATAGATGAGCTCAATATTACTTTCTCTATTAAACCAACCAACATGGGAAATAGAATGCAGACACCTTTGATCAAAGACAACTAGCTTTTGAATTTCTTTCAAACTAGTATCAATTAAATCTATCTAATGATCACGCTATGTTTGAAAATCATAACTACATTGACTTAAATATATTTATATCCTATGCTCATTTATAAGTATCACTTTACGGCGAAGTTCACCAATAGCGCCCCAGGAGTGCGAACCCTCAAATGACCTTGAACGCATACTAGCCGTTGACTGACGGCACCTATCACATTATCATAGCTGAAATATCAACGCTATTCACCAACGTCTTTAAGTACTGTTTGGACAATGTGTTAATAGCTTGTTAGGATTAAGGTAAGTATTTGGGGTTATAGTTAGGATTAGGGTTAGAATTACGGTTTGGTGAAGGGTTATGATTAGGGTCAGGATTAAGGTTAGGGTTATGACTAGGGATAGACTGACTTACAGTTGATATTATTCATTTTAGTTTGTTTTATTATCCACATTTTCCAGGTAAGCAGTCGTCTATCCTCTTACTGGAAACCATAGTAATTCACCCGAGGGCTTTTGGGGAAGACTGCACAACAGGATAAGAGAGATAAACAATTCACAAAAACAGCTCATCTTGAGTCACCTCGGTGAATATATGTGCAGGAACAACTAGTCTAACTTAACAACTGATACTCCTCATTATAACTTGGACACATTTTCAAGTCATGTCAGAGAAAGATACCCTGTTTAATGTGTTTTCATACATTTTCTTGTAAATATACGTCATTTTCTGTGCAGAAGTCATTTATTTTTATGACTGGTCAGCTGAAGGTCACTCGTGCATTCGCATCCCTTGGGACGCTAACGTTGAACTTTGCCCACTGAATTATTGCAATGATAATATTTGCTTACTGATGTATACGAAACAACTTATTCAAGTATAAGCTTACATGAATATAAAAGGCCAACTAAGTAGATTTATAAGTACGGTGCACAGAAGTAACCAACTGTGCTACTTACTATATGTCAATCAATATATTGAAAAAAAAAGAAATTACAAGAGACAAATTTTTCTTCTTTATCAAGGAATCTCTTCATTTAGTAGTGATTCAGTAAAAAAAAGTTTTCAGGGGGAGAAAATTCTCTTTTCTACGATTTCATTTTCAGAGCTGCATACTCGTATATATATATATATATATATATATATATATATATATATATATCCTAAATGACTGGACTACATCGACTCCTAGCTGGCTTAAAGATAGGCAGGAGTGAAGTGGTAGGATACATTGGCTACTTCAGTTATTTGGGGAGTTGCATTAAATCAAGCGGGTTGATTGCTGACGAAATTTCCTCACAAATACAGAAGAATCGTTTGGCATATACCAGCTCACGCTATATCTGGCGTAAACGTGATATCCTGCTGGGTGTCAACCAAAGGACGTGTATGCTGCTCAGCAGTTCGCTTTGTTCTCTTATATGGCTGTGAGACAGCTACTGAAAGCGGAAGGCATGAAAAGGCTAGCAGTCTTTGATTACAGGTGCCCGCGTTCTGTCTCCCGTGCTAAGTGGTATAATAGGGTGGGCAATATTGAGGTTAGGCGTCGAGTGCTAGGTAAGGAGGGGGAGTCAATAGACGAGGCTGTGAAACTATATCGACTCAGTGAGATGGTTAGGGCATGTGTTACGCATGCATCCCTAGCCATCGCCTCCCTCGACTGACGAGTAATGTTAGCTGACTGACATAGGACTGATCAGGTTGGACCGTGAACAGTGGTGGGCGACAAAAGCCAAAGAGATGGAGAAAGCTTCGAGGATAGGCAACACCAGGCAACTCTTTGGACTCATCAGGGAAACGGGTGGGAGAAGACAAATCATTAGTGAGACAATCTCGGAAAAAAATGGCACTATAATTAGCTCACAGGATAGACGACTGGATCGTTGGAAAGAGCATTATGAGGAGCAGTTTAATTTGCCCACAGCCACGCTCAACCTTCCGAGCATCCAACACCTCCCTGAATGGGATATAGATACAGGTCCTCCGTCACTAACTGAGGTTACTAAAGCTGTCACCAATCTGAAACTAGGCAAAGCAGCGGGACCTGATGGAATGACTCCAGAGGTATTTAAGTACGGTGGAGACAGCTTACTGTCCGGATTAACTGAGGTACTAGGCAACGTTTGGGAATCAGAAGAAGTCCCATCGGGTTGGTGTAAGTCACTGATTATCCCCATATACAAGAAGGGAGACAAGTCTTCCTGTGATAATCACAGAGGGATTAGCTTGACTAATATAGTATCTAAAGTCTTAGGCTCAATAATCATGCGTAGACTGAGTGGTGCTCGGGAAGCACAAACACGAGAGAGCCAGGCAGGCTTTAGACCAGGAAGAGGGTGTATTGATCATATCTTCACCCTCCGACAGATTCTAGAACATAGGCATTCCTACCGGCGTCCAACAGTCATTATATTTCTTGACCTAAAGGCAGCATTCGACTCTGTCGATCGGGAAGTTCTCTGGAGATGCTTGGCTGTCAAGGGAATTCCGAGAAAATATATTGCACTGATTAAGGCACTCTATTCGTACTCATACAGCCAGGTGAGGGCTTACGGCGAGCTGTCATCTGAACTGGTGACGACCAGTGGTGTCCGTCAAGGATGCCCATTATCTCCTTTTCTATTCAACTTCATCATAGATGTGTTAATGGACTTAACCCTAGGTGACTTCAGCGATTCAGGGATTGACTTGCTACCTGGGAATAATCTCGTTGACTTGGAATATGCAGACGATATAGTCCTTCTAGGCGAAGACGCTGACGAAATGCAGAGTCTTCTAAACACCTTGAACAGCAATCTACGAATGTTTGGCATGCGATTCGCTCCCGCCAAATGCAAGATGATGTTACAGGACTGGACTACGCTGGCGCCTAGTTTAGAAATAGGAAGTGAAGTGGTAGAGCACGTTGACCGCTTCACTTATTTGGGAAGTACCATCAGCCCCAACGGGCTGATCTCTGACGAAATCTCAGCACGAATACAAGGGGCTCGTTTCGCATTTGTTAGTTTACGCCGACTCTGGCGTAGACGAGATGTTCGACTATCGACCAAAGGGCGGGTGTACTGCTCATCAGTCCGCTCCGTCCTCCTTTATGGTTGTGAGACCTGGCCACTGAGAGTGGAAGACATGAAAAGACTAGCTGTCTTTGATCATAGGTGCCTGCGTTCTATTTCCCGTGTAAAGTGGCATAATAAGGTGAGCAACATGGAGGTTAGGCGTAGAGTTCTAGGTAAACAGGGGAAATCAATCGACGAAGTCGTGAAGCTACAAAGACTGAGATGGTTAGGACATGTGTTACGTATGCCAAGCCATCGCCTCCCTCGACGAGCAATGTTAGCGGATATAGGGTCAGGCTGGAAAAAAGCTAGCGGCGGTCAAACAAAAACTTGGCATCAGTCAATGAAATCCACAACAGTTGGTCTTAGCCACGTAGGAAGGTGTAGACTTCCAGGCTGGGGTCCTCGGGACGGCAAAAATCTATGGTTGGAAACAATTGGTGACATGGCTCAAAATCGTTCTCAGTGGCGCAGATGCATCCACTCCCTGTGACTTATGATCTCCAATGAAACTGTTTTGTATTTCTTTATTACTCCTTTGTCTCACACCTCTGCTCACTGTTTCTATTATGCTTTTCTTGTACTTTCTTCTCTTGCTTCGCGTGCTACACGGAATGTGGCGACTTGAACTTCCGCACATTTGTGCAAAGTTCTATGTCGAAAACAGACAGACAGACAGATCAGGTTGGAAAAGAGCTAGTTAGTGATGGTCAAACCAAAGCATGGCTTCATCAACCAATGAAATCCACAACAGTTAGTTTAAGCTACCCACGTAGGGAGAAATAGACTTCGTAGCTGGTTGGAGTCCTCGGGTTGGTAAAAGCTAATGAAGGCTGGAGACAGTCGGTGATATGGCTCAAAATGGTTCTCAATGGCTGGTGTAGATGCATTCACTCTTCGTGATTTATAATATCCAATAAAAATCTACTGTTCTTGCATATTACTTTTCTTTATGCCTCACACTTCTGTTTATTACCTCTCTTAAATGTATTCTGTGCGAATTTCTCCTTTCAAAGCGGTGAGTCAGTTTCCTTGTGTTAAAATGAGCGGAAGTGTTGAAGTAACAACTGAAATCAGTGCTCTTGCACCTGCTATCAAGGGATGAAACATTTACAAATACGTGAATGCACGATCATTATTTATGGGGAGAACTTTGATTTGGAAGATATCGTGAAAGTATTCAATGACAGTCATCTTACTATCCGTATCACGTTAGGAAAAGAAAGTGATGGTAATATATCTTTCCTTGATGTGTCATTTACTCATCAGGAGAGCTGATATAAGTAGTGGTTGAACAGATCGATTTTCAGAAAATCAACATGGACAGGACAATTGAGAGAAAAAAGAATTTAACTCTTTTTCTTTCAACATGGCTCCAAAGGAAAACTGAGAAAAGATTAAGCTGATGATGAACTTAAACAATTAAAAACAAAACTTTTATGGAGAATAGGTCTCCAGTAAGTTTTGTAGAGATCAGTAGTAAATTATATGAAAGAAATATGCCGAATGGGATAAGTTACCTAAGAAAGTGTTGTATCTAAACTTAGAATTTAAGGGTAATCAAGTGAGTGAAGTCAGTGAGACACTTCACTCATCTTATTGCACTCACATTTTCACATTTCTGAATGTACATTATCCTCCTATCATCTATTTTGCACATTGCTATTGAACTAAGGCAAGAAAGGAAGGTGAGAAACAGATTCATCAACCTGAAACCAATCTGAAAATCACCATCACTCAGCATCAACAACAATTTTCAGTCGGATTTTCAATACAAACGTCAAGTCAGTCAGTTCTTCTATACGGAACGGATCAGAAACTTGGTGGGCGGGTCACAAAATATATTTCCAACAGCCTGTTACAGGCCTTTATCAACAACAACTGCCTTCTTTCTATACCGAAGATCAGATGGCCGGGCGGGAAAGAATCACCAACAAGAAACTATGGAAACAAACAAAACAAGAACCAATCGCCAACCAACAAATATGCAGGAGAAAGTGGATTAAGATGGATTGGACACTCGTGGCTGAGAAGGCCGCTGGATGACATCGAGTGCGCGTCAGGCCATCGCTCGAGTGGAACCAGGCCGAAAGGGAAGCGGCGAGTGGGACGTCAGTGCAAAAGTGACATGGAGTGAAGAGTGGTGTGAAGAGTAGTTGAAAGAGTATGGACTAACATGGATGTAGGTGAAAAGTACAGCAGTAGGAAGACAGAAGCAAGTGGAGACGTGCAGTTGAAGCCCTATGTTCCACTAGGAACCCAAGGGAACAATAATAATAATAATAAATAATTGAACTAAATCAGGCATCAAATACCTTGGAATAGTTCTTTTCTTTAACCTCCCTTGGTCATACAATATCTTGTCAATTTCTAACAAAATACTCCATCTAACCTACCATATTACGAAGTTAACAGAATCAGGAATCACTCAACCTCGATATTTATAAATTGTTAACTCTTATCTATTGTTCTTTATTGCTCCCCCACCCTTAGTCTCCATGGGCTACCAATCAAAAACGACTATGTCATATCGGGAAGGGTATTACAGGTTGTCAGTAAGGCACCGGTTAATCAGCTCGAAACCGTTGTAGTCGATAGACACCTTAACTCCTGCGACAAATAGGCTAAATCCATATTGTGTGACTATCAACACCCTCTGTATTCACAACTATTCCCCACCTTACATCTCATCACGTAGAGGATTCGAAGTCATCACAAACGATTATATGCTTGTACAACCAACAACCCTATTTTACCCACCTTCTATATGATACGAAAAAAGTGTGAAGTGTGAAACTTACAACTTACTGTGTCATTAGAAAAAAGAACAACTGTTTCTACTTTTCTTATTTGTAATTTATGATGAAATCATTACAATTATCTTATGATTTAAGTTATTAACATAATTATTTTGTATATATTTGAATTAATACCACTGTCAAACTTTGACATACACACACACACACACAAACTAATTGTTATCATCTATCGGTAGTTCATATACACGATTGTTCAGCTATGAAAATCAAGTCGTTGAAAAGAGAATTTCTTTCGTAGAATTCTTTGTTTTATGTCTTAATTTTTATTCATTTTTTCCTTCACATTCCCAGTGGAACATAGGGCTTCAAGCTAGAAGGCTTGAAGTTTCTGTGGTAATGGTGTTTATTTTTACAGGATGGGGTTGCTAGCCTCATGCCCAACCTTTCCTCTTTACCAGCATTGTTTCTGGCTCAGCGAGGGTAAAGGAGTGCATCCGTGGCCGGGGATCAAACTCCGGATCATGTGCATGATCGGCAAGCATTCTAACTGCAGTGCCACCGACACACTTATGTCTCAATAGGGATTAGCAATTTTAAGGAGAAAAATGAAAAAAAACTTTAGCCGATTACGGCTACAGATGATAAATGGTGAAAAGAAAAGGAAAAGAACACACATACTTCATAATCTTTTAACAATTTGCCACCTGCTGCTTGATTCGCTTTAATAGCAATTTGGATACCTTGGTGTAGAAATTCGGCTACTTTAATGAAATCTTCTTCACAGAAACCACGTGATGTTAATGGAGCACTTCCAAGACGTAAACCACCAGGTCTGTAAGTATATTATACATTAGAGAGGTGAAAAAAAAAATTAAATTATACAATAAATATTCACGGGGAATAATATAGTAATTGACGATAAGTCAATCAATCAAACACACGTATTTACACTTCAGTAGTTTACCGTAAATGACAGTTATTTTATGATTGTTCCCTCAGATCCAGAGTGGGACATGCGGCTTCAACAGCGCACCTCAACTTTGTCCTATTCTCTGTGGCCCTCTTTAGTAGGCCACACACGATGACCCATAAGCTCTCGTTTCATCCTTGCACAACCTTCTCTAAGTCGCCCTTGGCCCTAGGCCAACACCCAACTCTACGTTTCCCCTTCGGGTTAAACTCCAGCAGTGGTCTTGAGCGCAGTCCGTTCCATCTCCATCTCCTCCGTCCAGAAATAAGTTCCTTATTGGTCCATTCCCAGAGTATCTGGTTGCTAATTCTTTCTGACTAGCCATTTGATCTTCAATATGGAACCGGCTAAGGCAGCTGTCGTCTGCAGTAACCTGTTGAAAATGCTTTTCTTCACACACATGTGTCAAGATTGTGACTCATATCGAAGAACTGACTGGTTTAGCATTGGTGTTGAAAATCCACATATTATTCGTTTTGCTGAGTGCAGAAGATTTCCAAACTAATTTCAGAGTCATCAAGGGCTGTCTTACCTCTCCGAATCTGGTTTCGACATCATCATCATCATCATCTGTGCTGTCGCCGGTAGTTGACATGATGCTTCCTAGACAGGTGTGTGAAAGAATTTCAAATTTCTTCCGTTGATAGTGATTGGTGCTAGTTGTTGTTGTTGGTTGGTTGGTTACCTTTATCACCTGCGTTTCCTCCATGTCCGTTTGAAGTTCAGTCTTCACTGCTTCTTCAGGAAGTTTGTTGGTTTTCGTTGATGTAAGTATAAAACTTGGGCACTGTGGTGGAGTATAACTTCATTATGGATAAGATTTTATTTTGATAAATCACACAGTGGCGTTATACAGTAATATTAACTGATGACGTTTCGAGCACAAACTATTGCTCATAATCATATCAAGTTACTCACACAACTTTGATCTCTCATTTATATACATATGTGGAATGGACAAACTCACTCAGAGACAAGCTCTGTAGGCTAAAAGACCCGGTGGATCCAATTAAACAAAATAATATAATTTACAAAATACCCTGCAATAACTGTGAGGTCAACTACATAGGTCAAACTAGTAGGTCAGGGATAGTCAGATTAACAGAAAATAAGAATTTAGCTAAGGTAAGAATGGTTGACCCCGAGAAGATAAGATAAGATAAGAAGTAAAAGCTCAGATATTGCACTTCATGCAATAACAAACAACCACACAATAGGGTGGGATAGGGTTAAAATTCTAAAAAGTAATATAGCTAAGTGGAGAGAGAGGTTGATTACGGAATCCTTATTTATCGAGTCCACACCCAACACATGCAACAAAAATGACTCAATGCAAATACCAGAGATATGGAAGATATTATTACCGCAGGTCAAATCAGAAGAGGGTAATAAATAATATTAAAATTCTATTTCGATTCAAACACATCACAACATCCTAACAAAAAACTTATTATGACTATTAAAACACTCGTCGTATCTTCCATCTGATTATAGTAGATCAATAACACTCGTATTAATGCCATCAGTCAAACCAGAAGAAGATAATAAATAATCTTAAAATTCTATTTCAATTCAAACACATTCTAACAAGCAGCTTATTATGACTGTAAAAACACTCGTCCAATTTTCCCATCTAATTGCAATTGATCAACAACACTCGTACGATTATTTCTGAATGTACATTATCTTACATTGATTTTTAATCCAATATCTAATCCATTCCACATATGTATATAAATGAGAGATCAAAGTTGTGTGAGTAACTTGATATGATTATGAGCAATAGTTTGTGCTCGAAACGTCATCAGTTCATATAACTGTAAACACTGTGCGATTTATCAAAATAAAATCTTATCTATAATGGAATTATACTCTACCACAGTGCCCAAGTTTTATACTTATATCAGTAATATTTATTATCCTCCTCGATGAACAAGGATTCAGTAAGCAACCTCTCTCTATCTCCACCTACTTAGATTACTTTTTAGAATTTTAACCCTCTCCCATCCTATTGCGTGTTAATGCGTGCAGTGCGATCGCTAAGCTTTTTTCTAAATTACCTATCTTCTCGGGATCAACCATTCTTGCCTTATTTTCTGACATCTTGACTACCCCCCTTCCATTTACTACTTTGATCTATGTACTTGACCTCACAGTCACTGCAAGGTATTTTGTAAATTATATTACTTTGTCTAATTGGGTTAACAGGGTCATTTAACCACTCAGGGACAAGCTCTGTCGGTTAAAGGATCCAGTTGACCCAATTTGACAAAATTATATCATTTACAAAATACCCTCCAATCACTGTGAGGTCAACTACATGGGTCAAACTAGTAGATCGAGGGATACTCAGATTGTCGGAACATAAGAATTTAGCTAAGGGAAGGATGGTTAACCCCGAGAAGATAAGTAATTTAGAAAAAAGCTCAACAATTGCACTTCACGTATTAACACACAACCACACAATAGGGTGGTATAGGATTAAAATTCTAAAAAGTAATATAGGTAGGTGGAGACAGAGAGAGGTTGATTTCTGAATCCTGCCTGGTTCGTCGAGTCTACACCCAACACAACACATACAACAGAAATGACTCAATGCAAATACCAGAGATATGCATAGAAGATATTATTACCACCAGTCAGTCAAATCAGAGGAGGATAATAAATAATCTCTAATTTCTATTTCAATTCAAACACATCACAACATTCTAACAAGTTACATATTTTGACTATAAAAAAAACACTCGTCTTATTTCCCATCTAATTGTTATTGTTCAATAACACTCGTATTATTATTTCTGAATGTGCATTATCTCATATTGATTTTTATTCCAATATTTAATCGATTCCGCACATGCTTATGAGCAGTAATCTCTGTCTGTCTGGATTCAACATAGAACTTGGCACCGAAGCGCACCAGTTCGAGTTGCCACGTTCCAAATAGCACACAACGGTAAACAAGAAGATGAATGAAGAGAATCAATACAGTCTGATAAGTATAAGAGTGAAACAGAATGGGTAATGGTAGAAAGGAATATGAAAGATTACAGAGACTGAATACATCTGCGCTGGCCATTGACAACGATTTTGAGCCATGTCACCTATTGTCTCCAGCCATTGATTCCTAGAGTCCCGAGGGCCCCAACCCGGAAGTCTGCATCTCCCTCCCTACCTGACTCAATTTAACTATCAAGGATTTCATGGATTGATGAGGCCATGTTTTTGTTTGGCCACCACTGGCTCTTTTCCAACACGGTTGTTTCCGTGGGTTTTCACACCTTCTATCTACAAGCTCACTTCAAATTGAAGTATGCACTGAAGATGTCGCCTAGTAGGGGATGAAAGCTTCTCAAATTAACTATCCAGCTCCAAGAACACAACCACCTCGAAATCATCCACCTGAGCTACAAATCTTCTCTAACATATCTAGACTAAATATGTATTGATATTCATTAACACAGCACATCCGCGATTTCCAAGACTATTATGTTCCGTATGTGATTAAAATCTTGGGTTGGTCAGTCTGCTCAAAGTCATAGACTTTACTACTAGGCCACACTGTAATTTGAAATTGGCGTCAGAGTAAATGTATCGATGAAAATTTATTACTCTGATTGGATACTAGACTGTAACTACTGTCATGTAGGATGAATTCTGTCAGTCAAACCTGTCTGTCTATTTTCGACATAGAACTTGGCACATATGTGCACCAGTTCAAGTCGCCACACTCCATGTAGCATATTTATCTTTTATTTTTTGGCGTTAGTCTTTTATTTATTTTTTTGATTTTAAAAATCTTATAAAAGTTATGAGGTAATTAGATGCAATATATTGTAATGCATGCTGAAAACTCCATACCTGTACCACAAATACTGTTTGGAATAAAGCTGTTATTATTATTATGATACAAAGCAAGAAAAGAAATGCATAACAGAGACAGTAAACAGAGGTATGAGTTTCATTGGAAATCATACGTCACAAAGAGTGGATGCATCTGAGCCAGCCATTGAGAACGATTTTGAACTATATTAACAAATGTTTCCAACCATTGGTTTTTACCGTCCCGAGGAACCCAACCAGGAAGTCTACACCTTCCTAAGTGGTTAGACTAACTGTTGTGTATTTCATTGACTGGTGACATGTTTTGGTTTGACCACCCCTAGCTCTTTTCCCGACCGAAAGCTCCTAACTTGACGTGATGGTCGGGCTTGAACACCGCAATGATCCAACAAGCTATACTGGCTGAGACTTATGTCGCTTGAGGTCCTACCATGCCAGAAACGTTGTTTGGGTAGCGGTTAGACAAAAAGCAGCTATCCAATCCAATGCTATGACTCAAACAAAATCACAAAATATCATGCCGATCGGTCGGATTAACAACGACCGCGCTTCCTGCTGTGGTGTCACAGGGCAGAAGTGATAAATATGCTACTGAGACACACCAAATAAAAGAAAAAACAGAAACAGGCCGCGTGTGACCGGCCTCAAGCAGCTGTCCCTTGGGCTCTGCGATCACGCAACACTAACCCTCTCTCTGTTTCAGGTACCCGAAGAATCAATCAACCTCCACGGTGTGGGCAGCCGGGATGTAACAACCGCCCACACATTTCCAAAAGCACACGAAGCCTTCCTGAGCATCATTCTCCTTTACTCACATCACCTTCCTCATCTTGCTTCTCTACTACAGTTAGTACTATTCTGCAGGCTAATGAGTCATCTTCACTTGACTCTGTGACCACGAACAACGGTCAGTTAAGTTTACAATGCGGCCACGATGTTTGTTGACTTCGTCATCACAGTACACTATAATTTGTTGTTTGAATCTCACAAGGAGACATAAGTTCCTTGCTGACGAATTCCAACAAGCACGAAGCATATTTCCATGGCTTCCAGTCATTTGCTTATAATCATCTAAGAAAAACTATCAGTTAGACATCTTGTGTGAACACCAACACCACCAGACCAAACCACTTCAGATAGCCTGTTGCCCAAAGAAACTATTAAAGTTACTATACGAAAACTATTACTATTATTATTGTTCCCTAGGGTTCCTAGTGGAACATAGGGCTTCAACTGCATGTCTCCACTTCCTTCTGTCTTCCTACTGCTGTACTTTTCACCTGCATCCATCTTAGTCCATACTCTTTCAACTCCTCTTCACACCATCTCCTCCATGTCACCCACCCTCGCACTGACGTCCCACTCGCCGCTTCCCTTTCGGCCTGGTTACACTCGAGAAATGGCCTGACGCGCACTCGATGTCACCCAGCGGCCTCCTCAGCCACGAGTATCCAATCCATCTCAATCCACTTTCTCCTGCATATTTGTTGGCTGGCGATTGGTTCTTGTTTTGTTTTGTTTGTTCCCAGCCATAGTTTCTTGTTGGTGATTCTTTCCCGCCCGGCCATCTGATCTTGTTTCAGTATAGAGCGAAGACAGTTAGTTGTTGATAAAGGTTTGCAATAGCCAGCCTGTTGGAAATATTCTTTGTGACCCGCCCGCCCGCCAAGTTTCTGATCCCATCCGTATAGAAGAACTGACCGACTTGACGTTTGTATTGAAAATCCGAGTGAACTTTGTTGTTGATTCTGGCTGAGTGACGAAGATTTCCAGATTGGTTGTTTCAGGTTGACTGATGAATGTGTTTGTCGCCTTCCTGATTCTCGCTCGATTTGACATCCTCATCCGTTTCGACTGCCTGTAGTTGAAACAATGCTCCCTAAATAAGCGAATGAATGAACTAACCTCTTTCAAATCCCTCCCGTTGATGTTGATTTGCAGTCATCAACCTCGCCTAGATTACTAGCTTGCTAGTTTTTTAGCCGGTCCCAAGCCCGGATAAAGAGGGAGGGTTGGGTCGTGGTACTAGAAACTCCACCCCCAAAACTTAACCAAATTGCTACAGAAACTTCTACGCATAAATATATACGAAAACTATACATAAATGAAACTATACAATTTTATTTTAGACAATTTAGAATAATTTACCTTAAAGCATTAACATCACCAGGACAAGTATTTTTGTTCACAGTAATATGTGCTAGCTCCATAACTTTTTCAGCTCGTGCACCATCTATTTTCATTGGACGAAGATCTACCAAGCATAAATGTGTATCACTGCCTCCAGTTACTAACTACATGTTCAGACATAGAGTAAAAATAAGATTAAATGAGTTTAATTTTATATATTTAAAAAAAAATTTTATACTATGGATATAAAGTGCAGTACCCGTATGGATGAAAAAAAGAGGGGAAAGGAGTATCAATTAAACTCATTGGAATGTATATTTGAATTTGTGATAGAATGGCTTACATGAAGTGATTCTGATTGATGGTGACCAATAGTGGAATCTAAGAGATGTGCATTTTGTCCTATTTACGACTCTTCATCTGGATGTATTCGCATTCACTGGCATTGTTTCAAACGCCAAATAATTATCTACTCACTGGGAATGCGGCTTTTCTCAGATGACGAGTTCTAAATGGAACGAAATGCACCTTTTAGATTCTGTTGTCGGTCACACTGCCACAGCGTATATACTAGATGACAGGTCAAAAGAGACTAGGCATTTCGCTTCACAACATAATCAACGGGAATGTAAATTAACGTAAAGACACCAAAGACTGGATTACAGTTGAAATCTGCACACACACACACACGCATTAAAAACCCAAACTCTTAATGATATTCAAGATTTCATCATGAGCTGACATTAGTTAGAGAACCATTGGAAAACCTGGGAGTACTAGACAGCTGTTTCGTCCTAGTTTGGGACTCTTCAGCAGTACGCACCCAGGACCTTCCGGTTACAAGGCAAGCTCGTATACCATAAGGCCACTGGGACCCGATCCAATGGTCCTTGAATTCTAACTTCTGCCAATTCACGACATTCAGGTAGGTAGGTACCTGGGTTCCAGTGGGAAGTCGTGACCAGTAGGGTGCAGCTGGTCGGGTGTGAGGACAAATACTCGCCGAAGACATTGGCTAGCGGTCGCGCTATGTCGTGAATTGGCAGAAGTTAGAATTCAAGGACCATTGGATCGGGTCCCAGTGGCCTTATGGTATACGAGCTTGCCTTGTAACCGGAAGGTCCTGGGTGCGTACTGCTGAAGAGTCCCAAACTAGGACGAAACAGTTGTCCAGTACTCCCAGGTTTTCCAATGGTTCTCTAACTAATGTCAGCTCATGATGAAATCCTGAAACCAATCAAATCCCTACAAACCAACACTTGAATCTTAATGATATTACCTATTGATTTTAGCCAATTTTAACAACTTGCTGAATGCTTAACTATGAGAGGATACAAAGACTCATAATTTGGTACGTGGAATGTAAGCAGCAAATGGTTCACCGGTTATACGAACTTAGCCAACCGTTACTTAATTGTTTTGTATAAACAACCTCATGTTTTGAGAGTGAATGCTGGCAGAAACAACTCAATAAAAATGCAGCAATCGACGCATATATATTTACATTATATCTAGTCACATCAAATGGAATGGTCGTGTGTAAAAGCCGAAAGTAATATTTGTGATTGACCGGTTTCAAGATAGAACTTTGCACAGAAGCGCAGAAGTTTAGGCTACCACACTTCATGTATCACGCAAAGAAAGGAAAAAGATTCTAAAGAATAATGACAGGCAGAAATGCGAGGAAGAAACGGTAGTTCATGAACAATTCCCATTCGAATATTAATAGACAAATAACAAGTAGTTCAGCGAAGAATCTCTTTTCGGCGAATTCATTTTCATAGCCGTACAATTGCAAATATATATGGTTGTTTTGTGTGTGTGTGTGTGTGTGTGTGTGTGTGTGTACATTAAATTTGACAAATGAAAATACAATTAGTGAGTTCAGATGAATTAGATGTTGTTATAAGAGGATAGTAACAAAAGTTATGAGTTGTCATAAATGATTGTTAAATAAGAGTTACGTGATGGCGTGAATAGTTTGATGAAAGAGTTGTGCTCAGGGTGTACATGGAAACAAAATAATATACAGAATTACACAAGGGTTTTAAGTAGCATACAAACAAAAATTCAACGCGCATCCCGTCAAAAAGGGTCAAAGAGCACTATCCAGCGTGGCTGCAAAAAGGAAGTAATGGCCGGAGGAGTGCGAAAATCGAACATCTCGTCACCACTGGTCCATTCGATCTCAACAAACTCTTCCTTCAAAGTAATCTACAAAGTGAAGAACAATCTTCCAAAGACAGTACGATTTCGTCTTCTTTGCATCACAGAAGCCGTAGCCATTCAGTTGGGGGAACCAGAACTGCGCATACAAAAGAAAATTATTCAACCACTTTTACTCTCATGGTAACAACTCCGTTGATTTGACTTTACTTTTGTTTGTTTGTTTGATTTGACTTAACTTTTGTTTGTATGCTTATTTTTCTGACTACTACTATCTTGTGTATTTTGTATATTATTTTGTTTCCATGTACACCCTGAGCACAACGCTTTCATCAAACTATTCACGCCATCACGTAACTCTTATTTAACAATCATTTATGACAACTCATAACTTTTGCTACTACCCTCTTATAACAACATCTAATTCATCTGAACTCACTAATTGTATTTTCGTTTGACAAATTGAATGTATATATATATATATATATATATACAAAACAACCATATATATTTGCGATCGTACAGCTATGAAAATGAGATCGCCGAAAAGAAACATTAGTAACACAGAAAGATGTAACGGTTTAGTAGACAGAGTGGGCGGGGGCAGGGGAAGACACAAAGAGTGGATGCATATATGCCAAAGAAAAAGATCTTGAGCCATATCACTAACTATCTCCAGCCACTGGTTCTTAGAATCCCAAGAAGGCACTTTACACCTCCATACATGGCTGGCTCAAAACTAACTACTTTTCAAAGACTTCATAAAGTGATGAGAAGTTTTCTCACCTAATACTACATCGGCTAACATTATAAGTCGAGTAAGGCGATGGCTCAGGATGTGCGACATGTATCTTAGCCATCTCAATCGATGTACCTTCACAACTTCATCGGCTGGCTTACCCCCTTTATTTAGCACTCCACGCCTAACCTCGATATTACTCACCATAGGATACCACTTAAGACGTGAGATAGGACACGAATACTCATGGTCAAAGACAACTAGCCAACCCTTCTCATGTCTTCCACTTTCAATAACCATGTTTCACAGTGAGGAGGAAGAAAGAAGTGAACTGGCTGCACAGTACACATCTGTTCTTTAGTCGATAGCCAGATATTACAGGAAAATAATACAATAAGTGATTCTTAAAAAAGGAAAGACACAAAGTTGCGAGAAAAAACCACAACAGAAAGCAAATCCCTAGAAAATATTAACAATGTGTATTATATTTAGACTCCGTGAGGTCTAAAAATTTCGGTTAATTTTTATTCTAAATATCGTCATTGGCCGACAAATCGGTCCAACACGACAAAATTGAAGCGGGAGCTCATTGATGGTACTTGTTAGAGTCACAGCATTAACTCACAAGTTGACAAATGATCGGATTCACCAATGGTTGAATATTCAACCTGATAGTCATGGATTTGATGCCGCGTAGGGTCACGAGGAGGTGGACTGCTGAAAAATCTTAAACTAGAAGAAAGAAACATCTGTCCAGTGCTCTGTCACCTTTCAGTGACTGTGTAGCTGATATTAGCTCAAGACAAAAACTACATTAATATTAAATATTAATATATTTTTCACAGCTCTACTCCAAGAAGAAGGTATAAAATTGTTTTAATATAATTGACGCATAGAAATAAATTACCTCGTAGCCAAAGGCTTTTAATGATGTGCAAAGTTGTTTCATATTTTTCAGCACTTGTTGTTGATAAGTTCGAAATTCTGGTGATGCTGCTTCCTTTAAAGCGACAGCTAAAGCGGCAATTGTATTATTATGAGGTCCACCTTGTAGTCCTGGAAAGACAGCTTCATTTATGCGACGTTCAAAATCTGTCGGTACTGGATCACCATGGCTTCCATTTTGCTATAGAGCATAGATTTAGAAAAAAAGTAGGGCCTCATTAAGCAGTAATATTATCTGGAGGGTGGTTAAGAGAAAAAAGAGGATGAATCCATTTTTCTTCTATATCTCCATAGGAAATCTCGCCAGTGATCAACAATAGTAACCGTCATTTATCCGGTTCTGTGTGATGAAAAACACTTATTGTATGAGGTTTGGCGATACTATCTCCCCACACATAACCCCGGTCGCCCGAAAAAAAGTAGGCGCGGTTCAAGTCACGGACCCACTGACTGGTAATCAAATGCTTCAGTCAATCAGCGATACTTTTCTGTCTGTCTGTTTTCGACATAGAACTTTGCACCGATGTGAGGCAGTTCAAGTCGCCACACTCCCTCCTTGTAGCACACAAGGCATGAGAAGAAAGTAGAAGAAATACATAATAGAGACAGTAAACAGAGGAGTGAGACAAAGGAATAGTAATAACGAAGAACAATATAGTTTCATTGGAAATCACAAGTCACAAGGAGTGGATCCATCTGCGTCAGCCATTGAGAACGATTTTGAGCCATATCACCAATTGTTTCCAACCATTGGTTTTTACCGTCCTGAGGACCCCAACCAGCCAGACAGTCTACACACCTTCCGACGTGGCTGGTTTAAACTAACTGTTGTGGATTTCACTGACTGATGAGGTCATGTTTTAGTTTGACCACCACTGGCTCTTTACCAACTTGACCCATCCTATGTCAGCTAACATTGCCTGTCAGTCGAGGAAGGCGATGACTAGGCATACGTAACACATGTCCTAACCATCTCGTTCGATGTAATTTCACAGCTTCGTCGATTGATTTCCCCTCCCACCTACTTCGCACTCGACGCCTAACCTCAATACTGCTCACCCTAGTATACCACTTCACATGGGAGATAGAGCGCAGGTACCTATGATCAAAGGCAGCTAATCTCTTCATGTCTTCCACTCTCAATGGCCAGGCGATAATTTTATATCTTCAAAATAGACAAAGAGTGGACGGGCAGTCAAGTAGCCTTTCATACAAGTAGTAAAGAGATTTCACCATCGATTGCACTATCAGAATTCATGTAAGTAGAAAATCTCGCTCTGGTGCAACACTAATTAGACAAATAGATCTTTTATTTTGCATACGAAGAAGACACATTTCTGTAATCTTTTTAAAACAATTAAAGTCCAGTATAATCATAATCTAAGACAAATACTCGTACTTTTCAGGTGAATCTCTCATGTATTCCTCTAGATGAATGATCTTTACATACAACAGTTATTCATAAGTAATAACTAAGTGAAAATTTGACAATACTGTTAACAAGATTTCAAACAACTCTGGTGTTATCCATTTTCCTTCGAGTGATTTCTGTAGGTATTCTTCCTCATATTGCTATATAGTCTCTATTAACTTAGTAGCATGATTCATAGACTCATGGCTTTAAAAGGCTATCTTGGGTGTTTCTATGGCTCTCACCGTTGTTTGTAGTCACAGAGTGAAGTGAAGATGACTCACTAGCCTGCAGAATAGTACTAACTGTAGTAGAGAAGCAAGATGAGGAAGGTGATGTGAGTAAAGGAGAATGATGCTCATGAAGGCTTCGTGTGCTTTTGGAAATGTGTGGGCGGTTGTTACATCCCGGCTGCCCACACCGTGGAGGTTGATTAATTCTTCGGGTACCTGAAACAGAGAGAGGGTTAGTGTTGCGTGACCGCAGAGCCCAGAGGACAACTGCTTGATGGTGGCACGTCACACACAACCTGTATGAACTGGTTTCTTGGATTGGTTCCGTATTAGTAAACTTACCGCCGGTTACTGAGCACCGTAGAGTAATTCAGGATGTACAATTGTTGGGGTCGACCTTTTCTAACCCCCTCTCTCCGGAGTGGAGAGACAGAATAGCTATCATGCTGGTCATCTGAGAGAAACACCTTAATGCTGTTACATCCCTGTTCCCCAGCGGTACGACTTCGCCCTTAGACCTCCAGCATAGCGTAAGAAAGGTTCTTACACAATACCGGTAATTGTTTTTAGTCCAGTTGCTATCTTAAAAACCTTCCTGGCATGGTACGACCTGCAGGAACATTGGTTCCAGCCAGTGCGGATTGTTGGGTCATCGCAATGTGCAAGCCCGACCACCACGTCAAGGTAGCAGCTATCGGTCGGGTATACACTTAATGGTTTCAGTAAGGTGATGATTCTCCAAAACTGTTTCTACAAGGTAATGTAATTAAGAACACATGAGTGAGTAAAGAGATCCAAGGTTGTACACTTTATTAAAGGTGTTTATCATCTACAGTGTAGAGTGACAACAACAACTGGTCAAAAGTTATTGTCACTTAGTAAAAAGACAAATCAAAGTGTATAGGTAATAATTATTTCCTGGAATAATTTGAGCCTCGAGTAAGATTTAATCATTATAAATTATTCAAAATGAGTAGTGACTATTGGTGGATGGTGACTGATTAGCAGTGGAATCCAGGACGCGCGTTTCGTCCTATTTGAGACTCTTCATCTAGATGTACCTGCATTCTGCAGTCAGTGATGATTTTCCCACTGAGGCTCGAACCCAGTGCCCATAGTGTTTCAAACACCAAAGCGTTATATCCAATAGACCAATTGGGCCACCTTTTGTGCAGTGGGTCATATTAACTATTTAATTCAATTTTAGATTTCCCCATCGATCTAAAATTAAATTAAATGAGTGATAACTATGTTTGAAAACTTAGAAATAGTCATACGTAATCAAGAGGGTTGACAACTGATCAGCTGAGTGATGAATAATCCTTTGGAAACAGTTGACAAGGGAATACAAGAATGAACATGAGATGGAAAAAGAATTAAAACAGACTACGTAGTTATTCAGGAAGACAGAGAAGGAAGAAGAAAAAGAAAACATATTACTAAGACCATGGCAGTAAAAGAGGCTGGATAAAACGATTCTGAAAGCAAAGTTCATATTTCTCTCCTTAAGGGCCGCTAAGGCTTCAGCTGTATGAAGAAGACTTAGGCGAAATCTTCGGCGAACGATTTGGTATTACTTTATAAATGTCTCTGAGAGTAGTCTCTGCTAATACTGCGTGGCCAGAAGTAATAATATGCCCGAGAATTGAGCTGTTGACTGTTATATGTTCTCCCTTTGACAACCATGCTGGTGAGTGTTCATAAGCACGTCTGGACAATGTATGTCCCTACTGGTACAACCTAATGTACTTATCTCCACAGATTTTATAGGACAACTTGTTTAAAAAACAAACAAAAAGTAGTACTTAGAGGAGAAATGAGATCATAGGCCACTTACCATGACACCACTTTTCTGAAGTCTAGCAACTTTACGATAAAATATCATTGCACCACGAGGGCCACGAAGTGTTTTATGCGTGGTAGTCATCACTATATCACAATATTGAAAAGGACTAGGATGGACACCAGCTGCTACCAAACCACTAATATGGGCCTAAAAAATGAAAAAATAATTCCTCATAATTACGTAAGCAATAAGATAAAAACAGTAAAACATTAAGTCTCAGTGTTAACATACTAAATATGAACAGTTGATTAGATCAGTGAATTTTGAAAACATTTAGCTACTAAATAAAGTTCAATGACACCTGAACGGGTTTATACATCTTCATTTACTTTTAGCATAATGGAAACTAAAAATTCCAGGCAATAGAAAGTAATCATCGGCAGTACGCACCCACTGGGGTTCGAACCTGGGACCATCCGGTTACAAGGCAAGCTCGTATACCATTCAGCCAGTGGGACCCGACCCAATTCAATGGCCAGCCAGCCCATGAATTCTAACTTCTACCAATTCGTGATTTAGCGTGACCACAACCATTGTTGTTGGTGGGACATCCATCCACACACATGACATCTAATTGGACCTCACTGGTCACGACTTCTCACTAGAACTCCAGGAAACTTCATCCTGTAGTAAGTCACTAGCAAGCATCAGATTAATTTCCAATAGTTTTGGTTTGTAAGGGTTAGTTTTGTTTTTTACGAGTTGATCACGGATTGATATCAGTTAGAGAAGCACTGAAAACCAGGGAGTACTGGACAGCTGCTGTTTCATCCTAGTTTGGGAATCATCGGCAGTACGCACCCACCACAGCGGGTTCGAACCCAGGACTTTCCAGTTACAAGGCAAGCTCGTATACCATTCAGAAGTTAGAATTTATGAGCCATTGAGTCGAGTCCCAGTGGCTGATGAATGGTATACGAGCTTGCCTTGTAACCGGAAGGTCCTGGATTCGAACCCCAGTGGGTGCATACTGTCGATGATTCTCAAACTAGTTTGAAACATTTGGCTGTCTAGTACTCCCTGGTTTTCAAGGCTTCTCTAACTGATATCAATTCGTGATCAATTCGTAAAAACAAAACTAACCCTTACAAACCAAACTATAGTAAACAAATAGTAATGAAAAATAAAAGAAACTTTAAAAAACCTCTAATCACTATCTACCATAATGAAAAAATTGGCTACTCTTTTGATTAATGCAAAGTCACAAATGAGATTGCCGTCAGGGTAATAAACCGTTGCTTCAGTTATTTGCACTATAATGTGTCTCTGACTTACATAGAGGTATCAGATATGTTCAATGTATTTTCCTTGACTAAATATCTGCCTGTGAAACTATACCTGGTCGTCTATTGTTAAACAAGCTTGTAGTAACACAAGCAGGGTGCTGAATGAATAAATGGTTACATTCTTACTTTTCTGATAGGAAGTAGTATAACAACAGAAAACAAGGGCCAGGCAACAGATCGTTTATTTACGAATTTTACACACATATTTATAGATTTTCATGTACATTATTATAGATTAATGTTAGCAGAAAAACACAGTTTTCTGATTGGCTGTTTCTCACCGAAAGTTAACCTAGCATCTCTTTGTGGCTGTTTCTTGAATGTCAGATCAACTATATGTTAACTGTATCCGCCTACGCAAAGTCTGCTCTGGTTGATTGTTAAATCAATCTTTGTTCTTATTTTTCTCACGACCAGTATTTGGGACATACACAATGACGTAAATTACTGTCCATCAATTTTGTCTAAAAGCTAGCTCTTTTGATGTGGTTTTGTTCTCTGAGCTGGATGGTTAGTTTGCGAAGCTTTCATCGCCCTACTGGGTGACATCTTCAGCGCATACTTCAATTTGAAGTGAGCTTTTAGGTTTCTCCACGAGTTTATTAATCATTCCTCCTGGTGACCTTGGACGTGATTGGTTGTTTATGTGTGTTTTCACACCTTCTAGGTTACTTGTATTGGAACCGGTTGTTTCTTTGACTTGAATTTTGACCCTTTGTCTGTGAAGTTTCTTTCTTATTGGTTGATAAATTTTGTCTATCTCGATGTGTCTATTGATTGATGATTCACTGGAATGCCAAGCTTCTAAAAATTCTCTAGCATTCTTGTTATTTCCTTTGTCTAATATTTGAACGTTGTCGCAGTCGAATTGATGTCCGTGGTTGTCTGTGTGTAGTGATATGAGGGAGTGGATATCATGTCTTTTGATGGCTAGCTTATGATCGTGGATACGAAGACGAAGGGGACGTCCACTTTGGCCAATGTAGTGTTTTTCACAGTTGTTACAGTTTATTTTGTAGATGATGTTGGTTTTGTCTTCTTTCGCTGTTGAGTCTTTTGGTTGACATAGAATTGAGTGCAGCGACTTTGTTGGTTTGTGTACGACGTCAATTCCTAAAGGTTTGAAGAGTCTTGTAGTGATTTCTGAGATATCCTTTATATATGGTAAGGCGATTTTCTTTGTGTTTTCCTTGGTGGCTTTTGTTTTGGTAGGTTGGCTTGGGGGTATATGTCTCTTGATAAAATTCCGTGGATATCCATTCTTTTGGAAGACGTCCATGAGATACTTTTCTTCAATTTTTCTTAAGGTGGGAGTGCTGCAGTGAGTCCTTGCTCTCTTGAATAGTGTTTGTATGCAGTTCCTTTTGTGTGCTATTGGGTTGTTGCTGTTGTAATTCAGTATTTGGTCTACCAAAGATCAAACCCAAGATTTGGATACGCTACGTCGACGACACATTTGTAATAATCAAAAGAAACGAATTAGACAAAACTCACAACTTAATAAACAACGTCTTCAACGACATCAAATTCACAAGAGAAGAGGAATCCGAGAACAAAATACCATTTTTGGACGTCTTAGTCAGGCGAACAACTACAGGAGAATTAGAAACTCAAGTTTATAGGAAATCAACTCACACAGACCAAATACTGAATTACAACAGCAACAACCCAATAGCACACAAAAGGAACTGCATACAAACACTATTCAAGAGAGCAAGGACTCACTGCAGCACTCCCACCTTAAGAAAAATTGAAGAAAAGTATCTCATGGACGTCTTCCAAAAGAATGGATATCCACGGAATTTTATCAAGAGACATATACCCCCAAGCCAACCTACCAAAACAAAAGCCACCAAGGAAAACACAAAGAAAATCGCCTTACCATATATAAAGGATATCTCAGAAATCACTACAAGACTCTTCAAACCTTTAGGAATTGACGTCGTACACAAACCAACAAAGTCGCTGCACTCAATTCTATGTCAACCAAAAGACTCAACAGCGAAAGAAGACAAAACCAACATCATCTACAAAATAAACTGTAACAACTGTGAAAAACACTACATCGGCCAAAGTGGACGTCCCCTTCGTCTTCGTATCCACGATCATAAGCTAGCCATCAAAAGACATGATATCCACTCCCTCATATCACTACACACAGACAACCACGGACATCAATTCGACTGCGACAACGTTCAAATATTAGACAAAGGAAATAACAAGAATGCTAGAGAATTTTTAGAAGCTTGGCATTCCAGTGAATCATCAATCAATAGACACATCGAGATAGACAAAATTTATCAACCAATAAGAAAGAAACTTCACAGACAAAGGGTCAAAATTCAAGTCAAAGAAACAACCGGTTCCAATACAAGTAACCTAGAAGGTGTGAAAACACACATAAACAACCAATCACGTCCAAGGTCACCAGGAGGAATGATTAATAAACTCGTGGAGAAACCTAAAAGCTCACTTCAAATTGAAGTATGCGCTGAAGATGTCACCCAGTAGGGCGATGAAAGCTTCGCAAACTAACCATCCAGCTCAGAGAACAAAACCACATCAAAATTATCCACCTGAGCTACAAATCTTCTCTATCATATCTAAAAGCTAGCTCTCTCCACACTGTGGCTGGTTTTCCTCAAGGTGTTTTCTTTCCTTTTACATGATTAGCCCCATTTTGATGAAACCAATTTTGTTACGTTTGTACCGATGATCTGCCAGTTACTTATCAATTATATTATTCTCAAATAAATAACTTCCTATCAGAAAGTAGTTTTCAGCTAAATCCCTTCAGATGTCAGGTTTGTTAATTCCACTTTCAGACGAAAACATGATTTACATAAACTGGTTTGTTCTCATGATTCTTGTATCATAGATGGCACTGAAATTGAAACTAAATCGAATGTTGTGTTTTTACTGCTTTTTCTTGGTCTTCCCATATCATGCTTATTTCTAGAAAGATATTGTAGTTGATGTTCTACGTAAAGAAGTTAAGACAGTCTGGTATCACTCAGTTTCCTTTCTAAAGCTATGTTAGTTTGTGTGTTGTACTTATTCTTCTTTATTGCTCCTGGGCTTCTTGAGAAGGACTCTGTTACACTGGTGAAGGGAACTAAAAGCTGTCAGTAGGGCGAGTGGCGTGTCACTAAAACCAACTCGTTAATACTATTACAGATAGAGAATATTACCTTGTCGGACCCCTATCATCGTCTTTATACAAAACTCTCTCCTAGCATTTCATCCAGTAGAACTGGAAGAAACTGTAGAACACCGTGTGCTCGGATGACTAAGAACGAAAACTCTACAATACGTTATTTTTCAGGCACACATCTTATGTGATGAATAAAGTGCATCTAAGGCATGAAACTACCAACTTACTAAGAAACACTTAGCAAACGGTACTTTTTATTCTTTCTCTCATCAATAGTTTTTTTGTTCCTTAATGTTCCCAGTGAAAAATAGGGTTTCAAACTTCACCTTTGAAGTTTCGGAAGCAGTGGTGTTTATTTTTACGGGATAAGGTTGTTAGCCTCATGGCTAACCTTTCCTCTTTGCCAGTCTTATTACTGCCTTAGCGAGGTAGAGGAATGCGTCTGTAGCCATGAATCGAACCCCGAACCTCGTGAGGCGTGGTTGGTTAGCAATCTACCGCTGTGCCACCGACGCTTCTCATATATATATATATATATATATATATATATATATATATATATATATATTGTTGTTAATATTTCCACTTAAATTTCAATTTTATATGCATGTTCTTATTCAACAATATTACCAGTGTAAACACCCTGCTTAATTGTAACCCTTGTATTATGTAATCAGAAAATTAGATGCAATATTTTATACATGCTGAAAATTCCACATCTGTATCAAAATTATCGTTTGGAAGAAAGCTGTTATGTTGCTGCTGCTGAGTGGTTAATAGTAGTTTTCCCCGTCGCCAAATTGTTATGTACTCGTCGCCAAATTATTATTATGTACTGGTCGGGAATTTAATAGTCCTGACGCAAGAAGGCGGAAATCAGAAGACCACTAGGTTTGCGATGATACTTCTATTTTCCAAACACAAGGAGAAGCAATAAGTGGTATCACACCAAAAAAGTAGTCACAAGATTGTGAGAACGAAATATATATTTGACCGTCCAGACAAGGATGTGAACAAATCAATAGACAGTCTTAACATGAATGGCTAATTATAATGGAGTGTCGATCCAATTATACATAGCAAAATATAGCAGACATGTCAACAACCACCATATATGGATATATGTCACCAAGCGACGGACTGTCAACACTCATATTACATTATATATAATATAAGGAGAATATACATTGTTAAAGGAGACAGGTTCATCAAAATGAAATGGTCACAGACTAAGCGAGAAAACAGAAAGAGAGATCACCATATATATATATATATATATATATATATATATATATATATATATGGATACATATCAAAAGCTATTATTATAATAACGCCGCTTGAAAAAGCCAATAAATATTAAAACAATTGAGAGTTGTTCCCTTTTCAAGCTCTAGATCCTTTAAAAGTTCATACCTATAATTGGACTAGAGATACACGGATCAGAACAGTCAATTTAAAGAGTATTTTAATTTAATCAATTGGCTTTTACAACTGAATTACTTATGATCTACAATTTCTTTTAATTTACCCAACACTGTGATAACCATTTTCCTCTATCTCAATTTACACAAGACAGACTGATTCGCTGACTGGTTTCAGCATAGAACTTCGAACAGATGTGCAGCAGTTCGACTTGCCACACTCTCTCCATGTAGCTCACATAGCAGGAGAAGAGATTGAAAAAAGACACAGTAAGCAGAAATACGTGGCAAAAAGAACTATATGATGAAAGAAAAATATAATTTTATTGGATATTATAAATCACAAAGAGTGGATGCATCTACGCCAGCCATTGAGAACGATTTTGAACCATATCACCAATTATCTCCAGCCTTCATTGCTTACTACCGTCCTGACGACGCCGACCAGGAAGTCTACATCTTCCTACGTGGCTGGTTTAAACTAACTGTTGGGGATTTCATTGACTGATGAAGCCATGTTTTGGTTCGACCACCGCCTACTAGCTCTTTTTCTACCTGATCAGTCCTATGTCAGTCAGCTAACATTGCCTGTCAGTCGAGGAAGGTGATGGCTAGGGGTGCATGTGTAACACATGTCCTAATCATCTCACTCAGTCGATGTAGCTTCACAGCCTTGTCTATTGATTTCCCCTCTTAACCTAGCACTCGACGCCTAATCCTACTTATACTACTTAACGGGGGAGATAGAACGCAGCAAGTTACGCATACTATCAAACATTAAAAAGCGTACGAATTCATCAAAGTTCTGACACAAAAAGTTTTATTTTGAAGTTCACTTCCTTTAAAATAAACATTTTGTTTTAATATATATATATATATATATATATATATATATATATATATATATATATATGACAAAGGGGACTTTATTTCGGTTATTCTTTTGACTTTAACGACTTAGAGATTGACTGGTTCCCAGCGTTTATTTTAGTCAACTTGGAGTATGCGGCTGACGTTGTCCTCCAAGATGAAGACGCTGATAAAATGCAGTCTTCTGAACACCTTAGAAAAAGCAGCAACCTTTAGAGGTTTGGTATGAGATTCACTACTATCGAATGTGTATCGGTTGCAGAGTAAAATTTCATCAAAGGATAGAAAATGATCGAAATGGTTGGGGGATTTCATCATGAGTCGACATCAGTCAGAGAATTACTGGAAAACCTGCAGGGAGTACTGGACAGCTGTTTCGTCTTAGTTTGGGACTCTCCAGTAGTACGCACCCACTGCTAGGGTTTGAACCCAGGGTCTTCTGGTTATAAGGCGATCTCGTAGATCATTAAACCATAGTCGATCTATATTATTTTTTTCAATTTTGAAAGTTATGTAATAAGTGCCTTGATGATATAATGTTCACCAGCAGCGATAATCTGTGCTCAAAACATCATCAAGTAAACAAATAACAATAATAGTGCATCACTGTGTACTTTTTATCAAGTAAAATTATTCTATAGTGAATTGATATTAAAATATATTTTACATTAGAAAATTAAAATTCAATAATTTGACACATATTTTAGATTTACATTTAAATCTAATAGAATGAGAAACTGCTGACCAGTCACGCGTATAACACACAACACAGACGAATAAACTTATAGTGATAAAATGCAATGCAAATAGTCATAATTTTCTATTAAGAAAATATGCAGAAGAATTAGACAGATCAATGCAAGACGTTTTAGGAACCAATTCACTAGGGCTGATAAAACACACATACACACAGAAACAAACATACAAGTAAACTATTCTTTTTTTTTTTAACAATTTCGCTTTTATTCCAGAAACAGTACTTCAAAGGATTTCATCATTTTACTGTGTATCCTTAAAATTAAAGCTTACGCTAACCTAGTCTTATGTAATATTTACTCCTTTAGGTTTCGAGTGCGACATAGGACATTCGAAGCACGTTTGCATTTCACTCTGTTCTATGCAGTCATCTTTAGCTGACTACACAATTGCCCAGAAGATTTCACACGCTCAATTCATCGTTTCCTGTTTGGGTTCCATTAGAGCTCCAGGCCTGGCATGTGATATCACTCAATGACCTCAGTGCGTATCTAATCCATCTCCTTTTTCTTCGTCGGTGCACAGCGGTTAGGACTCTCGCCGACCGTGCACATAGTCCGGGGTTCGACCCCCTGACGATGCACACCTGATATCTATGATCGGCTTGCAAAATTTGGACTACCGATGTCCGTGCTGAAAATACCACACTATTACCAAAAATACGGTGTGAAATCAAGCTGTAACCAAAATAAAAAATTTTTTAAAAATGTTTGTTGGCCTTGTGGTGAGGGCTGGCTGCTAGCCAGATTGGTAGACACTAATTTACGTCAGTGTTTACGTCCCCAATATTGGTCGTGAGAAAAATATGAACAAAGACTGATTCAACAACCAATCACAGGAGACTTTGTGTAGGCGGATACAATTAGCAGATAGATGATCTGACATTGAAGAAACAGCCATAAAGCGATGAAAGGATTAACTTTCTGTGAGAAACAACCAATCAGAAGACGGTGTTTGTTTGCTTAAATAATACATAATGATGTACATGAAAATATATAAATATGTGTTGATTTCCTTAATAAAGGATCTGTTTCTTGGCCCTTGTCTTCTGTTGTTACAGGCCGACTAGGTTCTTGATTGGTTCATTCTCAGATTTCCTTGTTGCTAATCCCTTCTGGACATCTGATCTTACCAGACTTATTACAGTATTTTTGACAAAAGGAAAAAATATACCAAACAAACTTGGATTTTACTCAGTACGTTAGAAGACTGACTACTCTTTTTCAGCGTCTTTGCGTAAATCAGTTATATTACCTGAGTGAGCTAAATTAGCATGTGGTGAGAGCTGTCTGCAAGACAAAATTGTAGACAACAATTGACGTCAATGTTTACGTCCCAAATATTGGTCATGAGAAAAAGAAAAAGAACAAAGCCTAACCTTGAGGAACTCAACAACCAATCAAAGCAGACATAGCGTGGGTGGATACGAATCACAGATACATCAAGGGACTGTCTAAGAAACGGCAACGAAGAGAATCACAGAATAACCTTCAGCAGGAAAACAACAACCAATCAGAAGACGTTGGTTCTCTGCTAACAATGTACAAAAAAATCTATAAATATCTGTTGATTTTCTCAATAAACAGTCTGTTGCCTGACTCTTGTCTTCTGTTGTTACAAGTATGGCTACTCTCTCCATATAGTCAGTTTTTTCTCGACAAGTATGACAGGCAATCAAAGTCACTTCTATCAGTAAAGCTATGATTAAATTGAAGAAAAAACCCAGATATTTTTGAAGAACAATAATCATTTCGGTTACCATAAATAACAACTTATAAAAAGCTTTAGCATAACTCGATAATTTCAAACATATTTTAACATAATTCCTCTAAACTGCATAGCTTGCTTAACATCTAGGCATTTTATCATACAAGTATATAAAATGCTTATGTTAAAAAAAGAACAACAAAAATAACACCATTTTCCTCTTAATATATAGAAATATGATATCAAATAAAGTATTTACCATATCAGCAAATAAAACAGCTGAAACCGAGTCAGCAATTTGCTGAAATCGTGCATAGTCCAAATGACGAGAGTAAGCTGAAGTTCCAGCAATAATTAATTTTGGACGAACAGCACGAGCTAACATCTCTAAACGATTATAATCTATCAATCCGGTATCAGGATCAACTTTGTACGGAATCGATTCAAAGTACAACGAAGTAGCTGACACCTAGTAAGAAAAAAAATATTCAACACAATAATAATAAGCAATTACAAAATCTTAAAGAAAATCATAATCTGTAATAAAAATTCACAAAATAATGTTTTATATTGTAGTCTGTGCTAAGAATAACAAAGACTCTTCTTGAAATAATAATAGAGAAGATTTCTACCCCAGATGAATGATTTCGATGTGGTTGTATTCTCTGAGCTGGTTGATTTAATTGGAATGCTTCTACTGTCTTCCTAGACAATATCTTCAGTGCAAACCCTAATATGAAGACAACTTACTGGAATTCTCCATGAATTATATAATTAAGAATACAATCATATCATAAAACTTGGGCACTATGGAGTATAACTTCATTATGGATACTAATTTATTTTGATAAAGTCTCACAGTGTTATACACTAATATTAACTGAAGACCATGTTTTGAGCACAAACTGTTGTCACTCATAATCATATCTAGTCACTCACACAACTTTTTTTCCCTCATTTATATACTTGAGTACAAACTGATTAGACATTTGAATAAAATCAATATAAGACAAAGTATACGATTGGTGGATGGTGGCTAGCAGTGGAATCCAGGATAAGGCGCATTTCGTCCTAAATGGGACTCGTCAACTGGATGTACCTGCATTTCTCAGTGAGTGATGATGTTTCCACTGAGGCTCGAACCCAGTGCCCATAGTTTCAAACGCCAAAGCGTTATCCACTAGACCACTTGGGCCACGAGAGCCACCTCTTGTGCAACGGGTCACATTAATTATTGAATTGAATTTTTGATTTTCCCGTCGATTGATTCGACCGAAGTGCTCCGCCCCAAATAGAACGAAATGCGCATCCTGGATTCCACTGCTAGCCACCATCCACCAATCGTATACTAATTAAATGCCCAGACATCGTCGAAGCATCTGCATAAGAAGCCGACATGTCAACCTGAGACCGAGCACTTCCGTCCAATCAATCGACGGGAAAATCAAAAATTCAATTCAATAAGACAAAGTACATTCAGAAATAATAATATACGTAGTATTATTGATCAAATACAATCAAATGGGAAATAAGACGAGTGTTTTTTTATAGCCAAAATATGTAACTTGTTAGAATGTTATGATGTGTTTGAATTGAAATGGAATTTTAAGATTATTTATTATCCTCCTCTGATTTGACTGACTAGTGGTAATAATATCTTCTATGCATATCTCTGGTATTTGCATTGAGTCATTTCTGTTGCATGTGTTGTGTTGGGTGTAGACTCGATGAACCAGGCAGGATCCAGTAATCAACCTCTCTCTCTGTCTCCACCTACCTATATTACTTTTTAGAATTTTAATCCTATGCCACCCTATTGTGTGGTTGTGTGTTAATACGTGAAGTGCAATTGTTGAGCTTTTTTCTAAATTACTCATTCTTCGCGGGGTCAATCATTCTACCCACTTAGTTAAATTCTTATGTTCTGATAATCTGAGTATCCCTCGATCTATTAGTTTGACCTATGTAGTTGACCTCACAGTCATTGCAAGGTATTTTGTAAATTATACCGTAAGCCAACATGGACTGGACAGTTTATCAACTTCCAGAGCTTTGTTCCACTGACCCGAAAGAGAAACTTGGTACGTACATAGTGTTTAAGGACTAGAAAAATCTGCTCGGAAGACACGGTAGAGAAAGAATTAAATTTATTGCGTGAAACCCTACTATAAAATGGGTATTCACCAAGATTCATCGACAAAAACATGAAGGAGAAGCCTCCGGTGTCAAACATCACAACGGTTCCTAAGAAGACTCTCTTCATGAACCTAGAATTCAAAGGTGATATCGCAGCGGAAATTCTCAGAAACCGCCTTTCTAAACGTCTGAAGAAGACATTCCCAACAGCCACTCTACATATAACATTTTCCTGCAGACAGTTAATCCAGTCTAACGTTAAGGACAAGATACCGCTTTCGGCCACTTCAATGTGTATTTATCAATTTACTTGCTCGTGTGGAACAAAGTATATCAGCCGTACGCAACGTCAAGTTCACAAACGTATCCTGGAACACTGCCCAGCTTGGTTAGCCAGAGGAGAAAAGAAGAATAACAACAGCTCGATCCACGAACACCTTGTCATCTACAGACGTTGAGCCCCCCACATGAATGCTTCACAGTGGTACACAGACTCCCTCAATATCATACAAAGGGACTTCAGATACAACATCTGTACATGGCTGGGGCATTAGCTATTCGAGACCTGAAACCGGACCTGCGCATACAAAAACGATACATACATTCTCTGACCCTACCATGGCCAGAGTAAAGTTCTTACCACAATTTTGCTCCCTTCTTTTAATATGTAAGTCCACTATTATTATTATTGTCCTTAATACTTTTATTATTATTACTATTCCCATCATCCACATTTTATTACCACTCTATTACTGTTTATTAATAACATTGCTTTTTCACACAGATTTTATACAAAACTACTTTATAGCCTTTCCACTTGCTCCTGTCCATTCTACACTAGCTTACTGATTAGTCATTATCTCACTCTTGTTAAGACATGCCAACTTCTGTCTCCTTTCTAACTTACAATTAGTCATCCCATCTTACACTTTGGATTATGTAGTACAATTTTCAAGGACAAAGTTTACCCGTATCTGATTGGTCTACAGATTTGTGTTAATTATAATTACGATTGTACAGCTCATTAAAATGAATCGTCGAAAAGAAAATTTTCTTCGCTGTTTATGCCTTTTTCTTTTGTTTAATTGGGTCCACCGGGCCTACAGAGCTTAATCTTCTGTGTGAGTTTGTAGGTTTGAATGCCACCACTCTAATTCCTTCTTTATTGAGAATCCTACGTAGGGCTTGCACTGAACATATTGTCTAGGAAGGCAATAGAAGCTTTCCAAATAAATCAACCAACTCAGAGAATACAACCAAGTAAAAAAAAAAGTGACTCTTCTTATAATGAAATGAGACATCAAATTTAACTCGACTTTACTAAAAACGGATGTTAGTATAAGATATGCAAATTTGTTAATTTTTTTCTCTTTTTTCTCCGAAATGTTATTTTTAGCATTGCACAATAAAAAGTGATGAATTATGTAACCCTGAAGTTGAATTTAATTTGCCTCAAAAAAAAGAAGACAAAAAATAATCAACTCAAATATTATTGTAAAAACCACTTGATTTTTCTTATCAGAAAAGAGTTGCTTAACAATGAACCAACTAATTTCAGTAACTAGTAACATTCCCAACCATAACAACAATTTAAGTTCACCTGGTCAAGTAAAACAATCTCTCACTGAACGAATAGTTCTTGACAAAATCCTTAAGAATAATAGGAGTAATAGTCTTGTAGTCATTCTCAGTCAAGTTTTATATTACTGCTACCACTGAAATTAACGTTAAACTCAGGATTCAGTCGGAACCCCACACCTTCACTTCACCCATTGACGCTTATATGGACAACTACAGTAACGTCGAAATGACAGTGAATTCTAGATTCGAGTACTAGTGGAGACATCATTGCTCACACTCAACTGACGAGTCCCAAATATAGTCAAAATGTGAATTATGAATTCTGTGTTGCCAGCCACCAACGTCAACTGACCTATAATGGCTAATACAACTCCCAGGATAAGCGTAATGAAAAACAAATTCAGTCAAAAATCTACTTCCTATCTCTCAATTAGTAGTTGATGCTGCTAACCAACCGTACAAGATCTTAATCATATAAGAATTTTATGTGATAAAAACCTCAACGATACAATATTATTTATTTATTTACTGATGAGAAGTAGGGTAGGTATTTGAGGGTTCACTTGACCCTAACCTTACCATACCCTTTCATCGAATAACAATTTTCACCTTATGAAAAGTCAAACTCTTTTTCTTCTTCCATGGTGTCACTGACTGACTACTGTGTAATTTCCTATGTTTAGAAACCATTTCTGAGCAATTCTGTCAATACTTCCATTATTTCTTATTCTTTGACTTTATTGGTAGATAGAAAGTGAGTGCCTTACTACGATTATGGGCAATAAATTATGCCCAAATTCAATTCTTACATCTACTTTTAAACTGCTACTTAAAAAAAATTGTCTGACAAATATTTTTGTTTAATCCCATTATTGGAAGTGTAATTTAAAAATACTATATTTCAAACAATTTCCTAATTAAATTACTGTAAATCGTTGACTTTGGAAGCGTGAATGACTAGGAGAAGTTTGTTATACGCTTTGAAGTCAATCTGACCGTGCCCTGGATTATTATTATTATGATTACCTCCTTTAATTTCTAGATGAACATAAGGCTTCAAAAGCACTTCTCCACTGCGTTCGGTTCTCCGCCAACGTTTTCACCTGGCTCCACGTCTGGCCACATGCTTACATCTCCTCTTCATATGACCTCCTCCATGTCACCCTTGCACTGACAACCAACTCACCGCTTCCCATTCGCCTTCTACTCGAATAATGGCATGGATTGCGGGTGATGTCACTGATCTACGCCGCAATCTACGAATGTTTAGCATGCGATTCGCTCCCGCCAAATGCAAAATGATGTTACAGGACTGGACTACATCGACGCCTAGTTTAAAAATAGGAAGTGAAGTGGTAGAGCACGTTGACCGCTTCACTTATTTGGGAAGTACCATCAGCCAACGCCAACGGGTTGATCTCTGAAGAAATCTCAGCACGAATACAAGGGGCTCGTTTCGCATTTGTTAGTTTACGCCGACTCTGGCGTAGACGAGATGTTCGACTATCGACCAAAGGGCGGGTGTACTGCTCATCAGTCCGCTCCGTCCTCCTTCATGGTTGTGAGACCTGGCCACTGAGAGTGGAAGACATGAAAAGACTGACTAGCTGTCTTTGATCATAGGTGCCTGCGTTCTGTTTCCCGTGTAAAGTGGCATAATAAGGTGAGCAACATGGAGGTTAGGCGTAGAGTTCTAGGTAAACAGGGGAAATCAATCGACGAAGTCGTGAAGTTACAAAGACTGAGATGGTTAGGACATGTGTTACGTATGCCAAGTCATCGCCTCCCTCGACGAGCAATGTTGGCGGATATAGGGTCAGGCTGGAAAAAAGTTAGTGGTGGTCAAACAAAAACTTGGCACCAGTCAATGAAATCCACAACAGTTGGTCTAAGCCACGTAGGAAGGTGTAAACTTCCTGACTGGTTGGGGTCCTCGGGACGGTGATAAAACCAGTGGTTGGAAACAATTGGTGATATGGCTCAAAATCCTCGTTCTCAATGGCTGGTGCAGATGCATACACTCCTTGTGACTTATGACTTACAATGAAACTGTTTTGTTCTTCGTTATTACTCTTCCTTTGTCTAACACCTCAGCTTACTGTCTCTATTATGCTTTTCTTGTACTTTCTTCTATTGCTTCGCGTGCTACACGGTGTGGCGACTTGAACTTCCGCACATTTGTGCAAAGTTTTATGTCGAAAACAGACAGATAGACAGATGTCACTGATGTCTACCTAAATTTCTAACAGCATATTTGTTGTACAACTGGTTCCTGCTGGGTCGGTTCGCTCCAAGAAATCCCTCACTGTTGCTGATCTTTTCTGGTCATCTGATCCTGAGTGTTATTGAGCGAAGACAGCTGTTGATGAAAGTCTGTAGTTTGTTCGATGTAACGTTCGTGACCCGGGGTCAAGTCTCTGATCCGTATAGTGAGTAGTACTGACTTCACATTAGAGTGGAAAATTCGGATCTTATTTTTCATGCTGAGTGCTGTACATCTCCACACGGCCTTGAGAGAAATAAAAGCTTGCCCTGCTTTCCCGATGATCCACGCTTTCATATCCTTATCACTTCCGTCGCCTGTAGTTGAAACTATGCTTCCCAGGTATCTGGGTAGGTAGGTAGGTAAAGGAGATTGCTTCTTTCAGATTCCTCCCATTTATGTTGATTGTTGTCTTTTGTTGGGGTTGCTGTTGCTGTTGACCAGGAATCTTCATCACCTCTGTTTTCTCCATGTTCACCTGAAGGAAGTCCTATCTTTTCTGGATCCTTCTTCTGCCAAATTGTTGCTTTTCTTCCATTTATCTTCCATTTTGTGGGAAATCAGACATACGTATATCATCGGCGAAGTTCAGATCCTCCAAGTTTTTGTGTGAGTTCATTTTATGCTTGTTCCCTCGTTGCCCACTGTCTGGTGCATTATCCAGTCTACCGCCCACAATCAGGAAAATCATTGGAGACAGTAGTCAGCCAGCTTGTCTTACTCCCGCCTTCACTTCGAAGGATTCCGTAGGTTCCCCGTTGTGGATTAATTGGCATGCAGCATTGTCGTACAACTGTTGGATGGGGTGTATAATTTTTGGCAGCATCCCGTGGTAGCGAAGTAGTTTCCAAATCACCCCTTGATCGTCGCTGTCAAAAGCATTTTGAAAGTCACTGAAGTTGAGATAGAGAGGTGACTGCCATTCCAAGCTCTGTTCAATGATGATCCGTAGTGTTGCGATTTGATCGATGCACGACTTGTTTCTCCTGAATCCAACCTGTGCCGGTAAAAGTTTTTCATCCAGGGTGTGTTTGATTCCCTCCAGGATGGTGCGACTTAGTATTTTGCTTGGGATAGACAGGAGCATAATGCCGCGACAGTACTTGCATTGACCGTGCCCTAGAGGTAGTTATTTTTTTTTAAATGCATTTTTCCATAAACTTTGCAAATTACTTACTAACTAACTTTGTTTTCAATCTCCCTTTTGTGTTATTTTTTGGATTCTGAATAAAACACAGGATATCCGAAGTACATTTCCATTTTACTCTATCATATACAGTCATCTTTAGCTGACTTCATGATTACCAATAAGCTTTCGTCTCCTCCTCATGAGATTGACTGCTTCCATGTAACCCTTAGATACCTAATTCGTTGTTTCTCATTCGGGTTCCATTCGAACTCTGGTCTGGCACGCAATATTACTCAATAGTCTCTTCAGCGTGTGTTTGATCCACCTCCGTTTGCCTTTGAACATTCATTGGCTGATGGGTTCTTGACTAGTTTGTTCCCAGAGTTCCTTGTTGTTTCTCCTTTATGAACCGATCGTTTGTTTTGCAATGTGAAGTGAAGCCAGCTGTTGATAGAAGTCTGTAGCCTGTTGGAAATGCTTCCCATGACGCATAAAATCTTTGAACCATATAGTAGCAGTGACTTGACATTAGCGCTGAAAATTAGCATCTTTTTCCATATTCTGAATGGATAAATATGTGCTCACTTGATTCATATAACATATCGACACATTCTTTAGGAATAATAATGAAGGTATTACTATACATATACGACATCTTTCATGAAATAAGAAGAATGTAGTGAAGTTACTCACCTTTCGACCAGATGCAGCTTGAAATCCATGTGTAAGATGTCCACCATCAGGTAGATCTAGTCCCATAATACGACCATGAGGACCAACTAATGCTGTATACACAGCAAAGTTAGCAGGTGATCCACTGTAAGGTTGTACATTAACACCCCATTCGCATTCATTGAGACCGAATAAGGACAAAGCACGTTTCTGGCATAAAGTTTCCATTTTATCGACAATTTCGTTACCACCATAATATCTAGAAAATAGAAAATAAGAGAAAAGACAAACGGATACGTTATAGAATGTTAACATCGTATCTTTTTAGCAATATAGCACTGCTGGTACTTACACTACCATGTTGATATACTTTAGGCAGAACTACAGAAATGTATTCCTCTTATTGAAGATGGAGGATAATTTCGGCTTTCATCAAGCGTTATAGTTAGAATCACTCAGTTAATAATAATGAGTATAGACTGAGTGTTCAAGCTAAATGGATAAATCCCTACACTGGCGAACAAAATGCCCAAATTAAACCTTACTCTAACTGCCATTATATGGACAACTATATAGTGTCGTACGCTTCTACATATCTATGTGGCTCATATGTGTATCTGTGGCACAGCGGTAGGAACGCTAGCTAACCACGCCTCACGTGGTTCGGGGTTCGATTCCCGGCCGCAAACACACTCCTTTACCTCGCTAAAGCCAGTAATAAGACTGGTAAAGAAGGAAGGTTGGGTGTGAAGCTAGCACCCCCATCCTGTAAAAATAAACACCGCCGCTACCAACACTTTAAGACTGAAGGTAAAAGCCCTATTTTCCACTGGGAACGCAAAGGAATAAAAAAGATTGTGGCTCATATAACCTTATATATGCAAAAATAATTCTATAGCCAAATTATAATACATTAAAATTACAACACAATAAACTTTGAGGTATCACTGCAAATTCGATTGAAAACAAATTGAGTTCATAAATTACTTGATTTTAAGTATACAGAAACGTTCCCTTCCGTATGGTGACACACAGGCTGTCTAAATCACACTTGATCAAGTGGCGATAAGCATCTATAACTATATCATGCAGTTTGCACTGTGGAAGGCATAAAAAGACTAGCTGGTTGTCTTTGATCATAGGTGCCTGCGTTACATCTCCCGTGTGAAATGGTATAATATGGTGAGCAACATCGAGGTTAGGGGTCAATTGCTAGATAAGGAAGTGAAATCAATCGACGAGGCTGTGAAGCTACATCGACTGAGTGAGATGGCTAGGACATGTGTTATGCATGCATCCCTAACCATCACTTTCTTCGATTGACAGGCAATGTTAGCTGACTGACATAGGACTGATCAGGTTGGAAAAGAGCTATTAGGTGGTAGTCAAACCAAAACACGGCTTCATCAGTCTATGAAATCCACAACAGTTAGCTTGACCCAGCCAGGTAGGGAGATATAGATTTTCTTGCTCGTTGGGGTCTTCGGGGTGGTAAAAGTTAATAAAGGCTGGAGGCAATCGGTGATATGGCTCAACATTGTTGTCAATGACTGGCGCATATGCATCCACTCCTTGTGACTTATAATTTCCAATGAAACTATATTGTTCTTCGTTATTACTATTCTTTATGCCTCACACCTCTGTTTACTGTCTCTATTGTGCATTTCTTCCACTTTCTTCTCTTGCTTTGTGTGCTACAAGGAGGGAGTGTGGCGACTTGAACTGCTGCACATTTGTGCAAAGTTCTATTTTGAAACCAGTCAGTCAGCACCGTCAAAGTACAAGGTAATTTTTACAAGACTTTCAACAGCTTGTATCTGCATTTATACGCGCTAACATATGAAGTTAGAAGTATTAGGAAAGTCTGTGCATTTAAGTAAGCGGGGTTGACGGAAGTGTAACGGACGTGATTTCCAATCGTGTATAGGAAGTGAGAGTCAGGTATATCAAGTAGGGAAATTTCTGATGCTGTCGAGATGCTAACACGGTTTTGACACTGAAGTATACTTTAGCTCGAGTTGTCACATTCTGATAAAGTACAGAAATCTAGTGAAAATACACAAAAGGAATAACCGGTAAATCTATAATTAACTGAATTACTTAATTTTTCACACGTATTTTCAGATATTGTTGGAATCAGGATTTCATCATGAGCTGACATTAGTTAGCGAACCATTGGTTTGAATCCCGGTGGGTGCGTACTGATGAAGAGTCCCAAACTAGGACGAAACAGTTGTCCAGTACTCTCAGGTTTTCCAATGGTTCTCTAAATAATGTCAGCTCATAATGAAATCCTGAAACCCATAAAATTCCTACAAACCAACACTTGAATATTGTTGGAATCGTCAGATGGTAGAAAAAATAATGTTTGAGTAAGAAAAACCGAAATTGTTACTAAGTAGAAAATTAAAAAACTAGCCCATTGAGAAAACCTTTCACAAATTTTACGTGATCAACTGAAATAATAGCAATGCCCCAGAAAGCAACTGTAGTTTATCAGATTATTTTTTTCCTTCACGTCCACAGTGGAAAATAGCGCTTCAAGCTAAAGGCTTGAAGTTTCTGTAGCAGTTTTTTATTTTTACAGGATGGGGTTGCTAGCTTCATGCCCAACTTTCCCTCTTTACCAGCCTTATTTCTGGCTTAGCGAGGTAAATGAATGCGTCGACCAGGATCGAACCCCGGACCATATGCATGGTCGGTGACCGTTCCAACCGCACAGTTTATCAGATCATTTAAAAAATGAAAAAAAGTTTTGGTCTTAGTTCTGATGCGCTATTTGTTGTCGTCCTTAGAACCTGTGTGGATATTTTATATGTTACGAACAATTTCAGTACTTCTTTTTCCAGTAATGTTGTATCCATAGGATGGAAAGGCATTAAAAGTATTTCGGTACCCGAATCATGTACTATTATTATTGTATCTTTTAGTTCCTAGAGGAACATAGGGCTTCAGCTGCGCACCCCCATTGCCTTCTGTTTTCTGACAACTTTTTCACCCCGCTCCAGGTCTGTCCACATTCTTTAATCTCCTCCTCGCATGACCTCCTCCAAGTCACCCTTACACTGACGACCAACTCGCCACTTCCCTTTCGGGTTCCACATGAGGGTCTGTCTAGTGATGTCACTTGATGGTTTCCTCACTGTGTGGACAATCCACCTCCATTTCTTCCTGCCTATTTGTTGCACAATCGGTTCCTGGTTGGTTCGCTCACAGATATCCTTGCTGCTGATCTTTTCTGACCATCTGATCTTCAGTATTGAGCGAAGACAGCTATTAATGGAGGTCTGTAGGTTGTTTTAGGCGCTCTTTATGACGCGCCAAGTCTCTGATACGTATGGTAACACTGACTTTACATTGGAGTTGAAAATCCGGATCTTAGTTTCATTTTTCGTGCTGAGTGCTGTTGACTTATCTCCACACAGACTTGAGAGTAATGAAAACTTGTCTCGCTTTTCCGATTCTGGCTTTGATATCCTCATCAGTTCCGCCTGTAGTTGAAAGGATGCTTCCCATGTCGGTAGGTAAAGGAGGCTGTTTCTTTCAGGTTCCTCCCATTTATGCTGGCTGTTTGTTGTCTGTTGTTGTTGCTGTTGATGTTGGCCAGGAATCTTCATCACCCGAATCATGTACTGATATAAATGTTAAGTTCAGGCCTATTGTAATTACTTCTCCGTTTTTTTTAAATTAATGGAAAAATTACTTTTGCTCAACCTTGAAAAGTTTTAATCGCCCTAAACAGTTTGCATGTAAACAAGGCAGAAGTACTTTGGATGCTGCTGCTGTTGCCTTACATCATAATATTGTTTCCTTTTTAGACAAGGGAGCCAAATACATTTCCCATGTATCTACCCTAACTACAAATCCGTTTTCGACTTTGTACCCATATATGCCTTTCGCTAAATAAGCTCTCCCTGACACAAACCTAGTCCTGGACTGCTAACCGGTTGCATTCTTATTTCTCAAACAGAATGCTGTGTACGGTATATGAAAGCGAATCTTCCCCTGCCTTGCTTACTGAAGCTGGAGTCCTTCAAGATGCTGTTCTCTCCCCCCCACCTTTATTCTCTCTTCTTACACGACTTGCATCTTTCGGAAGAAACCAACTTCGTTAAATACGCTGATGATATGACTGTCTCGTTGTCAGTTACATCTCGATCTGACTTTTCCAAACTTAATAGGTTCTCGTCGTCCATGCTAAGTAGTTTTGCGTTAAATTCTTCTAAATGTCCGATATTTAACTTCGCCTGTGGGTATAAACACGATCTACATGAACTAGTTCGTTCACAAGATGCCAGTAGCACAGAGGGCATTGAAGAAGAATCTAAGTCAAGCATAAAATACCCTGGAATAGTTCTTCCCTCTGACCTCACTTGGTCATACCACATCTTGTTGATTTCTAACAAAACACTCCATCTAACACATTGTATTAATTCCATACTAGTTTGTTTATTAGATGTATGACACAGTCAGTGAAACAGTATTATTTATTAGATGACACAGTTTCGAACAAAATTTATTGTTCATAATCATATCATCAATTATAATCACACGACTTCGAAACTTCACTTTTATAGTTTTCTTTTTTCTCTCCTATTTGTCGTCGTTGGGGTAGTAGAATTTTTCAGATATCAGGGATAAGTGATGAATCATTCTTACTAAATGTATTTGCAGTTGATTCAATAAACAAAGCTTCTGTTATCAATCTCTCCCTCCCTCCATCCTGTGACATTAGATTTTAAAACTGTCATCTTATCCCATCCTATTATATGGTTGTGTGTAATTGCATGTAGTGCTATAGCTGAACTTCTCTCTAGATTTCTTATCTTATTTGGATCAACTAATTTAAATTTTGCTAGGTATTTATGTTCCGCTAGTCTGACTGCCACTGTTCTACTAGTTTGACCTATATATTTGACCTGACAATCATTAGAGCAGGGTATTAGATGAACTAAATTGTTTTGTTTTAAAGGCTCCACAGGATTGATCCTTTAACCGACAAAGCTTGTTTCTAATTGAGTTTGTGAGTGGTTTGAATGCCAGTCGCTTTTATTGCTGCCTGCCTCGTTAAGAATTCTGCGTAAGGTGGTTTCCCAGGTTCCTTCCTTGTATGGAATTACTACTGATGATTTAGATTCCTTATTGTTGGTGTTGTCTTGTGTACATTCGACTTGCATGTCGTCATTAATATTATTATTATCACTACTATCATTATTTATTTTATTTTTACATTTCCCTATATATTTCCTGACTAATTTATCAGGGTAATTATTAAGTTTCAAGGTTTCTCTTATATGTATCAATTCCTGTCAAAGATTTTCCTTGGTACTACTTAGTTTTTGTGCTCTGTCACTTAAACATTTCACCAATCCTATTTTTACTGACAATGGATCGGATGATCGGAAGATTTGTTTATCGAATCAACTGCAAATACATGTAATAGGAATGATTCAACACCTGTCACAGATATCTGGAAAATTCTACTACCCCAACGACGACAAATAGGATACAACAAAGAAAACTATAAAGCTCAAGTTTCAAAGTCTTGTGATTACATAATTGATATGATTATGAACAATAAATTTTGTTCGAAACTGTGTCATCTAGTAAATAATACTGTTTCACTGTGATACATCTAATAAAAAAACTAATATGGAATCACTTACTACAATAGTGCCCAAGTTTTACACATATATGAATACTACTATATTAAGAAGTTAAGACAATCAGGAAACACTCAATCTTTACTTTTATAAATTGTTAACTCTTATCTATTGTTCTTTATTGTTCTCCCACACTTCATCTTTCCTGGGCTACCAATCAAAAACGACTATGCAAAATGGTGAAGGGTACTACAGGTTGTCAGTAAGGGAAGTGGTGTAGCACCACTAAGTCACCTTGTAATCACTGTAGTCGAAACACACCTTAACTCATGCGAGAAATGGTCTAAATTCACATTGTCTGACTACCAACACCCTCTTTATTCACAACTTTCCTTTTCACTTGCATCTCATCAGTTAGAGGACTTGAAGTCATCACAAACGACTTTGAGCTCGTAAAACCAAGTATAAAAAGTCGGCGATACCCTATTTGATCCACCTTCTATGTGATAGGAAGAATGTGTGAAGTGTGAAATTTACAACTTACTATGTCATTAGCAAAATAAACGACTGTTTCTACATCTCTTATTTGTAATTTATGATGACATCGTTTCAATTATCTTATAATTTCAGTTACTAACATTATTATTAGTCACTTTATACTTACAACTTTATTGTCACTGTTAATATTAAAAAGGCTACTAATATCATTTTTTGGTTACCTATACCCTGTAATATGACTTTTCGTTTTTATCTTTTTTTGCTATTGAATGAATTCAGTGCAATATTGTATCAAAAACTGAGAATTGCATGTTGTATCGTAAGTAACTGTTATGGAATGAAACAAGTCATTATTTATTAGCTATTTCATTTTTGGCTAAAATCCGGTAGATTTGAAAATGATTATTAACAAAAAACAGTATAATCATACACTAATCAAAAGTGTTCAATAAGCTTACCTGGCACCCACTTGACCTTCAGAATATTTATTGTGGAATGAAGAGGATAAAGCCTGTAGGACTGCTTTACTAGCGAAATTCTCTGAAGCTATCAATTCTAAGCCAAGTCGCTGACGCTTTTTCTCTTGCCTGCATAACTCCATAATTTCAACATCATATTCAGCGAGATCCACACTCATGTTTTTGGAGTCTATGATAATTATAAAGATAAATCAATATGAATTGTTACTGGAAAGCAAAAGGTGTTGCATTAATAGACCTATTGTATACAATGCTTATGGAGTAACAAGTGATGTTGGAAACTTTCAGTGTATTCCCCTTTGAATCTTAAATATAGAGAACTAGAGTATCTATCCCTCCTCCGTATACTGTAATCAAGCAGGCTACTTAGTGTTCTGCTGAGCAAGGAATTGGAAGGCAATCTTAATACCGTAGAAACGAACAAAGATAAGATAACATACTTAAACACAACATTTACATCATTATTCAGTGGATGCTATATTCGTTGTATGTAAACAAGGGATAATTGTAGAAGTGGAAAATACCAGGCGGAATCATTTTTAACATATGGTCGGACAAAATAATACTCTGACTATAATGATGATTTATCGTCATTCAAATCCAAGGCGCACAGGGATGCTTAGGATTTAGCAATATAATTTACGAATGCCTGTCTGGGAGTTACTACACAGAATTATGAAGTATTCCGAGCGATGCTGGGGACATCACTCGTACCCAATTCCCATGAAACTTCATCAACTCTCTTACAAACATTCGAGATGTTCATGAAGCCGGTTCATCCTCCGTAGGAGATAGCCGAAGTAAAGTGAAGTAAGTAAGTAAGTATTATGAAGTATTATTCTTAATACTTAATCTGTAAAATGTATCTGACTAACTGGTTTCAACACAGAACTTTGCACAGAAGTACATCATCAAGTACACTCCATCAAACAGATAAAGGAAGACAAGAAATTCGAAAGAATGATAATGAGAAGTGTGAGGGATAAAGAAAGAATAGTGACATGAAAAAACAGTAGGGTTCAATGAACATGACACACCATAAAGAGTGAGTGCATCAGCGCTACTGACAACGACTTCGAACTATATCATCAACTGCCTTAAGCCGCTTCTTCTTAGAATCCAGAGGACCCCAATCAAGCAGTTTACACCTACCCACGTGACTGGCTCGAACTAATTGCCAAAGATTTCACGGACTGATTCTAAGTTTCGGTTTAACCACTACTAGCTCTTTTCCTACCTAATCCTATGTCAGCCAACACTGCCTGTCGAGGAGGGCAATGGTTAGGCACGCATAGCACATGTTCTAGTCACCTCAATCAATGTAGCTTCACATCCTCATCGACAGATCTTCTCTCTTAACCTAACACTTGACGCCTTACCTCAATATTACTCACCAAATTACACCACCTAACATAAGAGACAGAACGCAAGCACCTATAATCAAAGACAACTAGTCTTTCAATGGCCATATCTCGCAGTCATAAAAGAGGACGGAGTGGACTGCTGAGTAATACATACGTTGTTTGACCAATAGTCAGATATTACGTCTACACCATATATGATGCATGCTGGTAAATTCGCACGAGTCTTTAGTATCCGCGCTGAGATTTCGTCAACGATTAGTCCGTTTGGTCTAATGCCAGTGCCCAAATAAGTGAAGTGATCAACACGCTTTACTATTTTACTCCCTATTTTACGCCAGGAGTCGCACATCGGTGCAAAGATCTTTGTCGAAAACAGACAGATAGACGCCAGGAGTCAATGTAGTTCAGTCACATAGCAATATCTTACATTTTACAGGAGTGAATTGCATGCCAAACATTCCGAGACTACATTTCAAGACTCTTCACCTGGGAGGACTATATCATACACATATTCTAAGTCAAAGAGACTGTCCCATGGTAATAAGCGAATCCGTGAAGTCAGTCAGGGTAAATTCCATTGGTACATTTATGGGGACAGTGGACACTAGTGATGGACACCACTAGTTGTCATCACTTTAAATGACAATTTGTAAAAGATGCAATTTCAAGTATTATTTAACTGTCGGCTTGTTACGCTGCTTACTGTGATAAGTTAGTACGAATCCTATTACAGCAAATAAGAAGGTAAAAAATATACTAATACCTTTGATTTTGGAACATTTGTGAAGTCATTAGTCTGTCAATGATGTCTCCAAATGTTTTCCAACATAATGAACAGTAACTAACCGAGAATTCTTTCGATATAAATGCTTCTATTATACGATCAAGATTCCTAGACCTTGACTACATGAACTGACGAATTGGAAGTTGGCTATGTTTTTTTGAACATCAAAGTATTCAGTTTCCAAATGCGTTCGCTATTTGACTCATTTTTTAAAGTAGTAATTGCGTTCGAGCGAAAGTTTAACTTCAACTTTTATAAGAGTAGGTATACACAAGCTGTCAATTTTTACACACCTATTTCGTGTGCATGCAAACTTCATCCCTATTCATTTCATTAACTTCAGCTTTACAGAATCCAATTCCTAATGAATCTCTTATCGTTTAAGTGGAGGAAAATGAGACCATACATGTGATCCCAAACACATGAATGATAAGGAGTGGTTTTTGTGCTTACAACAGCATTATAAGCCTATTTCGGAGGATCCGACGAGGCAAAGTTGGTCTACGCTTCGCTTCTGTCATATTCATGAAGATAGTATGATAAGTTGGAATCTAACACTTCCATATAACAGAAGATCTTCGGAAAGGACGCTGACGAAAATGTCATAAAAAATGATACTTTTATCTATACCCAGTAAAACAGTGAAAGGCTAATTATCGTTAAAAGTGCATTAAAATAAATTCCAAGTGTCAAAAGGATAGATCAAAAATATTCATACAATTCGATGTAAATCAAAGTTGCTGCTAACAACAGAGATGCGTTCAGTCAGTCAGACCCAAGTGAAAATTTTTGGGGCGGCTTAATTAGTGTAAAAATGTTTGCGGAAATGCATCAAAACATTGGAATCCCCCTCCCACCAAACGACCACAAACTACCTAACAGTGAGAGTTATGGAAGATTTCATATTGATACAAAGTCAATAATACCATCTAGTGTCCCGATTTCTTAGTACTTCCTAAGCGTTCAGTTTCCTCTACAGTTTTCACAAATGCTACAATAGCTTTTAACAGGTATGATTATTCCAACAAAATGCATTTTAGATTACCCTCTAAAGACATATCTGAAAGATATAGTCACTTCTGTTAATAAGATGATATGTTAGTCAGAAACGTAACCTAAATGTCAATACTGAACACGATAACATAAGAGCAAAGTCTTGTCAATCTTTCCAAAAGAACTACAGAAAACTCAAGGTTTTGCATGGATGTACGTTATCCTCCCTAACAATAAATATCCTCTATTCTGAATTATCCGGTTAGAAAACCTGATCTTCATAGTCGATGAACCTTTTTCAACCATTTCTTCCACATCTAATTTCTATGTGGTAAATTCGGCTGTCTCAAACTACTGTCACGGTTTCAGATGCTACTTTTGTAGTAGCATCTTGAGACCAAATAAACTGAAACCTCAAGGTGAAGTCGAAAACAATAAGAGGACGTGATTCATGTATGTATTTGCACAGCACATTTTGAACACTCAGACCACACACGTACTTCTCAAAGGAATACATATAAAAATAATAAAGCATTAAGGGGTGAGAGAATAGATATAGGTCAAGTTAAAAGGCTATATTGAAGGTCAAAGTAACAATGCAGATCAATAAACCAAATAACAGAGATAACAGTACGTCTGCCATTTTATCAAAACAGATGTAGTGTGGTGACCACTTGTTTTTGGACGCATAAACTTAGTTTAAACTTCTTAATCTCCAGGGCTTCGACAAAATTTAGGAATCGCCCCAAACACGTTTTATAAATAGGTTTAAAAGACGTGTAAACATCAATTTTACACCGTCTCTATAATATGTTTGGCAATAGAGGAGCTAGGTCTCCTGTTCTTACCATTAATGGATTCTGGGGACTATGTTTGCCTCTGAAGTTATCTAAGAATATTCTCTGAAGGCCTTACTTGCAGAGATCGACGAGTCCTCCCTACGTATGTGCAACCACACATTTAAACGGGTAGATAGATTGGGATGTGACATCATTTCTCATCTGTTCTAAGGGTTTAGATGGATATATACGCTTCACATTATAAATTATTTGTATCTTAGCTGCATAAAAAGTTTTTTAACCGCACCATTCAATCTTTCTCTAGTTACCGAGTTGCTATGATCACCCATGTAAGGTAGCTTGGTATATACGTCCTTCTTAGCGGTGAGCTGGAGAATGGATCATGGTGTTTTGACCACTTTCCACTACCTTGGAGACTTCACTGGACAATGATTATCAAAAAGAGTTTCTGTCAGTTCTTTTTTCATCTTCAAGTGTATCCATGTTCGTTGGATCTTACCAAAGAGGCTCCTCACCAAGGCTTTTTCGTACAGAATAGGAGAGTTGTGGTAATTAAGATACTTCAAAACAAGTGATTCAGCGAAGAGACTCTTTTCAACGAATTTATCATCAAGCTGTACAATCGTATGTATGTATGGTTTTTAAGAAGTTATATCCGGTGAGGGAATTGAATCTTAGGTGTGAATGCATAAAATAATAATGATAGTAGTATGAAATGCAATTAAAAAACTAAAACGTTTGTGATTATACTCATAGTTAAATGTCAAGTGGCAAAGCAAATTAATGTCATATTATTATTATTTTATGCATTCACACCTAAGATTCAATTCCCTCACCAGATATAACTTCTTGAAAACCTTATATATACGACTGTACAGCTTGATGATAAATTCGTTGAAAAGAGTCTTTTCGCTGAATCACTTGTTTTGATTTTCTGTATGTTACAATGGGAATTTTCCATGAATTAAGTTACTGTCCTGTGAAAGTAGAGTTTTCTGTAAGTATATCATTGTACTGATCCGTCAGGTATCGACTAAGCGGTATGTGGGAAAGATAAAGAATTATCTTTCTTTTCTACAAACTAAAGTGATATTTTTTCATTATGATTAAGGTTATTTTGTATTTCCCAATGAATGGAAAACAAAACGATATTGGTAAATTCATTGGGAAATACAAAAAAACCTTTATTATAATGAATATCATATACCCAATGCCCAAATTTTTTCAA